TGGGCATTTTGGGTGTGTGACGAGGACGGGGGCCAGCAGGACTGAACAGGTGGGGGGCACAGGGCCTTGTGGCTGGGAGGAGGGTGATAGAGGAGCCTTCTGATCACTCTGTGATGTTCCAGGTGTCGAGGACTGTTGCAGAGGCTGGGGTGTTGCTCTAGCTGGGTTGGGGTGCTGGGCTCTGTGAGCCATGGGGCGGAGTGGTGTGGCCGTGTGTGTCCTGGGGGTTTCTGCGCGCTGTGTGGGCCCCACTCAGGCTCAGCAGGGGCTCCATGGGAACCAGGCTCTGGGTTTCCGTGGCAACAGCAGGGAGGAGCCAGGAAACGCGGCTCAGGAAGGAAGGCCACAGCTGTGAGGAGGGAGCCAAGGGCCAGCCTGGCTGAGCCGGCGCCAGACACTCTGTCTGTCCAGTCGTCCGGCGGGCCGGGCCCGGAGCTCCTGCCCCCAGCTTTGCCCCCCCACCCCCGCATGCCACCCAGTCTGGGCTCGGGGCAGCTGCTGCCATGGCTGTCTTTATTCAAACCAGGGTGCCCTGGTCTGGGTCTGCAGGTGTCCCAGTCCTACAGGAGTTGTGCCCTGCTCCCCTCAGGGGCTCTTGGAGGAGCAGAGGTGGGGCTGTCTGGGTGTCCTGGGCAGTGCCCCCCTGACCTCCCTGCCTGGGCTGGCCTGGCCTCTCTCCCTCCTGCCAGGCTCTGGTGACAGTCCTCAGCTGCCCTGGGAATGGAGCAGAGAAGGAGCAGAGCCCCAGTGGGCCCTGCAGCTGTATGTTTCTTTTCTGCTGCTGCCCTAGCTTTGTGACAAGTGGCTTTGATGGCCCAACCAGCTGGGACTGCCAAATGGGCTAGGGGGGCAGGCCTGTGTTCCTGGGGACCACGCATCCCTTCTCACTCAGGGGCCGGAATCATTCATTCATGCCTTCATTCGTTTGTTATTGAGTGCCTGCTATGAACTCAGCTCTGTTCTAGGAGACAGTGAACAAAACAGACCCAAGTCCTTGCCTGGGGAGGGGGTTCCTGTTCTGGGGGAGAGGGACAGACAATCAGCAGATCCACAAACAAGGCAGAATGTGGGGCGCCAGGCTGTGGTGCGTGCTCTGGAGAATGGTGCTGCTGGCTGAGGAGTCCAGGGTGCTCATGGCCTGTCACTTCATGAGGTGACTTTTGAGCCAACCCCAGCAGGGAACATGGAAAAGAGATGAGGGGATATCTGGAGAAGAGTGTTGTTCAGTGGGAGCAGCACAGGCAAAGGCCCTGGGGCAGGGATTTGAGCTGATATGTGGGAAGAGCAGGGAGTGGACAGGGAGCTGTGTGAGGCCTGGGAGGGTCTCGTTTTTTTTTCTGAAGGAGGGTTGGTGACTTAGGAGGGTTTTGAGCAGAGGAGGGTGTGATGTGACTTAGCTTTCCACAGCCTCAGCTTAGCTGCTGTGTGGAGATGGGCCTGGGCAGCTCAGGAAGGATGGACTCACCACCAGGAAAGAAGGGGAGGGGGTCCGCTCCTGGAGTGGGCCTGGCTTCTCAGCTGAAAGCTGCCTCCCTGAGGAGTTTCCAGGAGGGCAGCGGGGTTGGTGTGCCTGGACCCCTGGGAGATGCTACCTCAGGGACCCCTGGGTTTGGTGCCCTGGGAGTCAGACCTCCTCCTTTCACCCATAGCCCTTGACCCGCCCACCCCCCCGCCCAGGGCCTCTGGGGATGGGGAGGGTGGAGTGGCCGCCAGGCTGGCTGGCAGGGCAGGGAGGGCTGCCTTTCTGGGAATTGTGTGAGGGAAGCACATTGTTCGAGCCTGGAGCAGGCCGCCAGGGCTGCTGCTGGCCTCTGGGGGATGCCGCCTGCCTCCCCCAAGTGCTGCCTCTGGGGGAGGGAGCTGGGCTGGGGCCAAGGCTATGGGCTGGGCTGGGGACTTTCCTAAAGATGTTACCCTGGGTGGGCAGCTCTTCCCATTCTGCAGACTGAGAGGCTGAGGCCCAGAGAAAGGGCTGCCGCAGGGCAGAGCCAGGGTATCTGCGAGCACATGGGACAGGGCACTCTTGCTGGGTCTCAGTCCCCGGTCGCTGCCCTGCCTGACTTCAGATGCCAGGATCTGAGGGACTCCTCGATGGGGTTGGCTGGGGTCACAGCCTACACAACCCCTGTGCTGGCCACCATGGTGGGCTGGAGGGTCTGGAGGAAGAGGTGCAGAAACAGCTGGGTGCCCAGGCCAGGGGAGAGCTGCCTGAAGGTAGCAGGGGATGGGTGGGGGCTTCTGGGGCCATGGGAAGTGAGGTGGGGCTCCATGTGACTGCAGCAGCACAGACCTTCCCACCGAGGCCCCTGCCTCAGCCAGAAAGGAAGCACGGATGCGACCTGCTTGGGTCATGGCCGGCTTTGGGCAGGCAGGGGGCGGGGGACACAAATAGAAAAATAAATGGCCTGAGCTTCCGATGTTTCCGGACTGAGGATGGGGGAGGGGCAGGCTTCTGGGCCAAAGGTGTGGTCCAGCCTATGTGTCCTGGACCTTGAGGGTGTCGCTGGGGTGTCCCCAGGTCGCTCTCAGGGCTGTGTTCCCCTCAGAACTCCCAGGACAGGGCCGGGCTTCCCACAGAGGAGGCTCCTGAGGGCAGGCCTGCATATTTCTCTTCTGTGGGGGCTGCCCCATGGGACCATCATGGGCACTGAGGGAGGGCCCCTGGCAGTGGGCCTGTGGAGTGTCCAGGAGGGCATTCTGGAGAAGCACAGGTGGGGTGGGTCTGGGAAGGTAAGCACTCTGTCTCCCATCCCTCGGGGGCTCCTTCTTTGCTCCTTGCTGATCCCTCTTCACCTCTGACCTCCAATCAGGAGCCCCTGGACCTCCACCCACACATCTACATTTTCATGGCTCAGTCTCCCAACCCAGCAAGGCCCTGCCTTGACTCCCACCACCTTGTCAGGTCCACCTGGCTCTCGGCTCTCTGTCCCCCACCCCCGTCCTCTTCCTGGGTCCATCTCAGCAGGAGAGGCTGGGGGTCCTCAGGGGAGGGCCCCATCTGGTTCTAGGAGGGTCTGTGTGTCAGGCCTTCAGCCCAAAGCAGCAGGGGAGGTCAGTCCTGAGCTGGCCCTCCCTGGGCGTGTGGGGGGGGGGCTGTCTTTGGGGCTCCCTTGCTGGGCGGTGGCTGGTAAGTGTGGGTCCCTTCCTGCCCACCCCCTGCGTGCTATTGTTTTTTCCTTGCTTCGTGAGACATATTTACTGAGCAACTCTTAGGTGTCCTGGGCTAGGGATGTGGCAGAGGGTGGATGGAAGGCCTTGTTTTGCCAGCTGAGCAGTCCTTGGGCGACAGACACCTCATGGACAGTCCCAGGTGGTTCTGAGTGTCTGTGCATGAGGACCCTCAGGTATGGCATTGTGCGCACATGTGAGCAACTTTTTGTCCCCCGTGACTCAGGTTGCGTGTGGGTATCAAAGAGAAATGAAATTCCTCATTTGCAGAGGGGTCAGGGTAAGGTCTGGAAGGCCCCAGCCCTGGGGAGTGCCCTAGTGGGGTACAGCCAGGTTTACATAAATCCCCTCCAGGAGAACCCCATGGTCCTGATGCTACCCTCTGGGGGCAGTTTTCTGAGGGTACCGGACGGTCTGGGGGCCCAGGCAGCTTCTTGGAGGAGGACATTCCCAAGGTTGGGTAGGGTCCATGAGGGGTCTGGGGTGGGCTGTGAACATTCTGAGCAAGGTTCCAAGGGTCATGAACTCACGAGGGCCCCCAGACCAGGGACTTTGAAGGTGGAATACTGACTTTTGGGATTGGTGGTTGCTGCCCCAGCTCGAGCCCTGGTGAGGGTGGGAGCCCCCGCAGCCCCCACAGATGAGGGCCTCTCTGTCCTACTCTGGCCGCTTCACAGCTGTGGCCAGAATGGACGGCACCTCCCCAGGGGGAGGGTGGGGGACACCTGGCTGGCCAGCTGGTCTGTGGCTCCCTCCTGCCACCTAGAGGCCACTGCTCATCATGGACCACACAGGCCACGCAGCAGGATCACCCTATCTGGATCCTGGGCTTCCCATTCATGCTGCATGGGGCCATACCCCTTCCATGCAGGACTGGACCTGCCAGGGTTCAGGGCTCCTGTCACAGGGAAACAGCTGTGGCCTCCAGGTCTCCAGCTCGGAAGTACCCTGCCTCCTCTGCCACCTACCCCCACCTGTTCCGTCTACTCCCTCTTCCCCATCACCTGCCCTGCTCTGGGCTGGGCTCCTGGGATGGCCTCTGCAGCCCCACAGCCCAGCCCTCTGCTGGGCATTCCTCTTTCAGGGGCCCCCCACCTCCTGGCTGTCATCCTTCAGGGGCCCCAGTGTCTTGGTCTCCATTCATCTGCAACCTCAGTGGGTTCAATCAAGATCCACCAAGACATGCCAGGCTCCTTACAAGCTGTCCCTGTGGCTTATCCCTGGAGCCTCTGGAGGTGGAGACCATCTAGTTTCTCATGGAGGAGAAAGGGTCCAAGGCAGGCAGGCCAGGATTTCCATTATGGTGGTGTAGGGGAAGGGCCCTAGTTCTTAGCCAACAGCTCCTCCTCTCCTCCGTGTCCTTACCTTGGTGCCACATAATGGGGCAGTGCAGAAAGTAAAGCTCATAGGGTTACAAAGGAAACCAGTTACAGTGAAACACAGTTATCAAAATATTTCCTAAAATGTGTGATATAGAAAAACAAAAAAGTGTGATACAGAAACCTAAGCACTTTTCTAAAATACAGATTTTATTTATTTGAGAGAGAGAGAGGGAGAGAGAGAGAGAGCACATGCAGGAGGTGGGGAGAGGGAGAAGCAGGCTGAGCAGGGAGCCCGACACGGAACTCGATCCCAGGACCCCGGGATCATGACCTGAGTGGAAGGCAGACGCTTCACCGACTGAGCCACCCAGGCGCCCCAGTCTAAGCACTTCTTTCTTGCTGCAGACTCAGCAGCAGTGAGCTCCTGGGGCATTGGCAGGACAGCCGTGGCGGGAAGTGGCTCTAGTCTGTGCTGTGGTCGGTCCTGGCACCGCTGTGAGATGCTGGTCATTGCTTCAAAACCAAAGGAACAGCTGTATGCTGCCACCAGAGGGCAACGGGAAGGGCATGAACATTCCTCCCCACCTGGTTTTTTTTCTGACAGGCTGCGGGTCCCTGACCCCCAGCTTGAGACCCTGTCCTGTTCTCCCTCCCACCCCACCCAGTGCCCCTCCTCAGCAGCCAGGCTTGTCCTGTCTCCCCATCCCCCAGTCTCTATCCTGTCACTGCCTCTGTCCCTCTCAGCAGCTTGGATAAGATCATAGGGGCTGAGTACAAACTCCAGACCACCATCCACCTCCCAGTCCTGGGACACCCTCTGCACACTTGGAGCATAGCCCCCAGCGTCCTGAACCCCTGCCCTCCTCTGGGTGCCCATTGCTCGGTATCCACCCTGGCTGGCCAGGGTTCTGTGCCTCTGTACCGAAGACAAAGACCTCAAAGCCCACCCATGGAGTATAAGAGGCAAGGGTCTTTTTTTTTTTTTTTTTGAGTCTTCATTTTCTTTCTTTCTTTCTTTCTTTCTTTCTTTCTTTCTTTCTTTCTTTCTTTCTTTCTTTCTTTCTTCCTTCCTTCCTTCCTTCCTTCTTTCTTTCTTTCTTTCCTTTCTTTCTCTCTCTCTCTCTTTCTTTCTTTCTTTTTTTTTTTTAAAGATTTTATTTGACAGAGAGAGAGAGCCCAAGCAGGGGGTGGTTACAGAGGGAGAGGGAGAAGCAGGCTTCCTGCGGATCAGGGAGCCCGATGCGGGGCTTGATCCCAAGACCCTGGGATCATGACCTGAGCCGAAGGCAGACACTTCACCGACTGAGCCACCCAGGCACCCCTAAGAGTCTTCATTCTTAACCAGCTCCCTTAGTTATACTTTAGTCACATCTTTGTGGCTTAAACCATTCAACCAGTCCCACACTGAGAGGCATTCCTTACACTAAGTCCCTTGCACAGATGGTGGGACAGTCCCTCATTAGCAGGTCTTCCCAAGTAGGGTCAAGGGTGAATCCCCACTGGTTTTCCAGGGTGTCTGCCTGCCTGCTCTCCTCCCCAGCACCTGGTGCCCATCTGTCCCGTGGAGAAATCAGATGGAGACTGACCTTGAGGCTGGGCTTTGACAGTGACCTGCCCCAGGGGGCTGTGCTGATGGCCCAGACCCTACCCCAACTGATGCCTTGGCCAAGGTCAGGGGTCTGGCACAAACCTTGACAACCAGGTGATGCTTCTGAGAGGCCTGTCCTGATCTCCTCTCTGATTTTTTTTTTTTTTAAGATTTTATTTATTTATTTGACAGAGAGAGACAGGGAGAGAGGGAACACAAGCAGGGGGAGTGCGGGAGGGAGAAGCAGGCTTCCCGCTGAGCAGGGAGCCCAATGTGGGGCTCGATCCCAGGACCCTGGGATCATGACCTGAGCTGAAGGCAGACGCTTAACGACTGAGCCACCCAGGCGCCCCAGACCCTCTCTGATTCTCCTCTTAGGGACCTAAAGCTGTTTTGAGTTCTCTTGGACATACATCTGCCTGCTCCAGAGGGTAGAGGCTGAGGGCTATGCTCCACACTAGCCATGTCTGCCCTCCCTCCCCTGTGGCCCAGGCTTTGTCAGAAGCCATGGCTGAGCTCAGCATCCCTGGATGCCCAGCACAATGGTGAGTTTGCTTCAAGAAATCCTCGAAGCAGCTTCCCCCATCTGTCTTAGAGGCCTGGCTGGGCAGCCTCCATGGACAAGTCCCTGTGGGTGACGGGGGCCAGTGTGAATCTTTGAGGATGTGTTCTCTGGGGTTCTTGCTGGTGCCTGTCATACAGGAGCCCAGGCAGCTCCTGGTTCTCACCAGTCATTGCTTGCCCAGAGCAGGGCTGAAGGGTGTGTCTCCAGCTTCCCAGTGTCCCTGGTGTGGCCGGACCCTCAGAGGCTGTACACATGTTCAGACCAGGGGATTCTGGCCATCTAAGGACTTGCTTGGTTGGGATGGATCAGAGCTATGGCCCCAGCTCACAGTGAGGGGCAGAACCAGAGCCGGTCTAGAAATGAGGTGATGGGTTCACCACCACAGGGCCTCTGTCCTGGAAAACCTTTGCTCCCTCTAAGGAACTCCATGCTTTTTCCTTATGATTACTAAGGAATCTCATAAATAACCATGTTTTCCTTTTCACTTGGGCTGCTGGGAAGCTCAGTCATATCTAATTAACTCCACTGAGAGTCCAAGGCCTGGTCAGCCGAGGTCATCTGGTCATCCCATCTGCCACCCGGTCTCACAGTTACTTGGCCTGAATTTCAGTGACTGTGGGGCGGGGCCCACAGCACTACACACATCAATTCCCTGGCTTGTACCCTCCCCCTGAATTGTGCCCTGTCCAGCAAACCACCCAGCATCGCATCACTGAGGACGTGGCAGACATCTGGAGGGGATGCTCACTCTGCCCCTCTGCTCCTCCCCAGCCCTCTACCGGCCAGGGCCATCCCTCCAACTGAGTGCAGTCTGGCCATTCCCAGGGACCTCCAGCAGCAAAGGTGACAACTGAATTGCTCATGCTTGTGCCCTGACCTGTTCTCAGTGCATGAGGTTTATCAACTGACGACACCCCGAAAGGAGCCCTGTAAGGCAGACAATATTAACATCTCCATTTCACAGATGGGGACACTGAGGCACAGAGTGGTCAGTGATTTATCTGAAGCGCAGAGCTGGGGATTCACAGCCGGCAGCTGCCTCCGGAGGCAGGGGCCGTGCCCACGCAGCCTCTCCAAGTCCCCGGGCATCTTCCGACCCTCGCATCCGCTACAGCTCCCTCCCACCTCCAGGCGCCACGCACCAGCGCTCAGAGGCCACGATTCAGGCCAGAGTGCGCAGGGGGTCCGCGCAGGCTTGCGGGGGGCGTGGGGTCGGGAGTCCTCCCGCGGGTCCGGCTGTCCCGGGACAGCGGAAGGTGGAAGAAGAGGGCTCCGAGTGGGTGGAGACAGGGGCGGGACTCGAACGTGCCCCTATGGGTCCTACATAGTCGGACCACCCGCCGCTCCGGGGCGGGGGGTCGGGTAGGGACAAACCTGGGGTCGCGTCCGGCCCGGCACGTTCGTTCTGCTGGCGCGCTACCGCAGCGCCCTCCGCCGGCTAACCGGCTCGCGCGGGGGCTTGTGGGACTGCGAGTCTTTCGGCCCAGTCGGCCTCCGGCGACGGCCCGCGTCAGGACTACACTCCCCAGGAAGCCATGCAAATCTGCGTGTCTTCTGGGAGTTGTGGTCCAGGGCGGGGCCGGTGCGCGCGAGGTGGGCGGCCGTGGGAACTACATGTCCCACGATGCAGCGCGGCGACCGCGGGGGCCGGGGGTTTGAACGGAGGGTCTCCCGCCCGCGGTAGGGCTGCGTCGGCTGTGACGGGTGCGGGCGACGGCGACGATCGGGGCGGGGGTCCAGGCCCGGAGGCTGAGGCTGGCGCGGCGGGCGCTGGGGGCCTTGCCCCCGAGGCGATGATGGGCAAGGAAGAGGAGATTGCGCGGATCGCCCGGAGGCTGGACAAGATGGTGACCAAGAAGAGTGCGGTGAGGGGCGCGGGCCGCCAGGACCCCGGGACCCCCGCCCCGCCGACCCCCGCCGAGCCTGCCGAACCCCCTTCAGGGTCGGGGAGACCACCCGAAGGGCAGGACGAGACCCCGCCCCAGCAGAGACTCCCGGGACGTGGGGAGACCCCCGTCGGTGGCCGAGACCCCTGCCCTGGGCCAGCCCTGCCCTTCACTCCCGCACCCGCGGCAGAGGCCGCAATCGGGCTTGGACCCAGTCCGGGGAGCCGCCCTCTCTGGACTCAGACCCCACCTACCAGGCCGAGACCCCGCAGACCTGGGATCCGTCTCCTTCCTTGCCCCCTAACTCCAGACTACCCCCGCCCCAACCCTACCGGAGCCCGGCCAGCGGAAGCTTTCCTCGGTCCCGCCCTCCAGGCCTTGCCGGAGCCCCAGCCTGTTCAGACATTTCGTACTGGCTGCCCCGCCCCCGGTGTCTTCCTCCTCAGCCTCGGCATCCTCACAGTTCGCCCCCACCCCCGGGACTCTCCGCAGAGCCCCAACCCCGACTCAGAGCCCTCTGTCCCACCCTAGGCCTCCCTCATCCTTTCTCAGCCTGCAGGAGTTTGGAGTGTGAGACTGGACCCCCTTTCCCTCCCGGAGCTACAGCGCTTCCCTTACCTCTGGTCCGCCTGGGGCTGTGGCCCTCATCATCTCCCCTTCACAAGCAGGCCAGAGGCCTTTCCTGGCTTAGAGGCCCCCCTTTTTCCCCTGTATCTGTCCCTGCTCTACAAGAACCAGGTTTCCCTAATAAATTCTTTCCCTTCCATAGCCAGGACTCAGCCAGCAGCAACTGGGGAGTGGGTAGATACGTAGAGACGCTAGGGATAGAGCCCTGGGAGGTCTGGTGAGCCTGGCCTGGGAGCGCCTTGGTGATAGAGCCCCTGCCCAGCTGTGCTCACTGTGGTGCCTGGCCTGTGTTGTCCTGTGGCCAGTGAGTCTTTGGAGCAGGCTGTGCTGCGGTCTCTAAGAGGAACCAGGTAGATGGGGTTCCAATGTCAACCCGTTTTCAGCTTTGAGATTCTGACAACCTGCATAGCCTCACATGGAAGCATCCTGGGTGGGTGGTACCTGCCTTTAGGATGTTGGGAGGGGTCCTGGCTGGCTCCCTGAGAGGCTCAATAAACAACCTGCTCTCCCCCACAGACTGTGAGCAACTAGTTAGGGTGGTGGAGGAGGCTCAGTCATGGGCTTGAGATGCCTGGGCAGCCACTCCAGGATTGTCGGCTTGCTCGGGTGCTTTGGGTGGTTTTTTGGGTTAAGCAGGCTTGTCCTGGGTCCCTGTTGACCAGGTTCTGGACAGGGTTCTACGCTGGGGCCTAAAAGGGGGCTGTCTCCCACTCATTCATTCATCCAGCAAGCAGCAGCCCCCTGCACACACACACACACACACACTCACTGTGTTCATACCCCCGGGGGGCCGTGGGCAGCACAGAGCAAGGGTGTGGGAACAACCTAGAGCTGTTTCCAGAGATGACCAGAGAAAGAAGCTGCTTCCTCTCTTGAAGGAGACAAAGAACACCACCCAGGTGGGGTCAGAGATGGGTCCTAGAACCCATGGAGGGCTGGGTGGGGCCAGGTAGAGCTGGGGGAGGGTGTGTCCAGGTGGAAGCGCAGCGGAGCATGAGGAGGGGGCGTTGACCAACCTCTGGGCCGGGAACGCGCCGAGGGTTTGAGGGTACTGTGGCGTGGGCAGTGAGGGCTGGCAGTGGTCCCAGTGCCTGGGACGCCTCTTCGGGGATTTGGGACCCATGGTTGGGAAGTCAGGAATTGGGTTTCTGCCTCTGGTCTGGAGCCACAGAAAACTGATCAGTGAGCAGCACTGTGTCTTTGGCTCTGACAACCATCTTTTTTCCTGTGGAGGTCATTTCAGGGCAGGACTGTGCACAGCCTGAGGCGCAGAGCCTGCTGGGGGTGATGTGGAGGGGGCTGCAGAGCATAGATGTCACTCAGATTGGGGGGTGGGGTGGGGCAGGGCCGGGCCTTCCCACGGCCTGGGCTTCAAGACATGAAGGTCTCACAACCTTGAGTGTCTGGGTCAGGTTACTTCTGCCCCCTTCATGTCACAGGGAAGACCCACACGTTAAAACACCAGTGTGTTAAAAAGGGAAGCATCTGTGGAAGAAAGCAAAGCAGGGGAGGAGGATGGAGGTGTTGCATGGGGTGTGGTCACAGTTTTAAGTAGGAGGGGCCTTGCCAAGAAGGTGTCCTTTGAATAAACTTTGGAAAGAGGGAGGGTACAAATCTGTAGGTATTTGGGAGGCACTTCTGGCAGTGGGGGCAGCAGGTGCAAAAGTCGTGGGGCAAGCAACTTGGCACACTTGAGGAATCTTAAGCTGAGCCTGGAGTGGAGAGAGCAGCCCATTTGTGCATGGCCTTGGTGTGGGGGAGGGCTTTGAAGAAACAGATGTGCAGTGGGAGGGGGCAAGGTGGGGAAGGTGGCTGGCCTGAGGATTAAGGCAAGGCCTAGAGGGATTGATGAAGGGTGGGGCCATGGGACTTGAATCTGGGTGTGGGTATGGGTGTGATGGAAGTAGAGTGTTTGGCCTCTGCAGGGGACGCTGACCTTGCCCGGGTTGACCCCTCTCAGCTGGTGGGTGAGCCACTTCAGGGAGAAGCTGCCCAACCCATCGCAAGGGACAGGAGACCGGACAGGGGAGTGAGCACCCCTGGGGCCACACCTTCACCTGGGTGCGGCCCCCCTGCCGGGGAGGGGCTGCAGTCCTTGGAGCTGTTTCCTGCAACCATGGTTTGGTCAGTGACCCAAAACACTGCGGTTGAGTTTGCCAAGCCCACTTTCCTTCTCATTCTGGCCCTCCCTGGGCATGTGGCCCCAGGTGGATCTCCGAATTGTTACTCCTTGTGCCCCCCTCTTGCATTGTTCACCGAGACCTCGAAGTCATTTATGAAGGTCCCCCTTCTCCTTCCAGGAGGGAGCCATGGACCTGCTGCGGGAGCTGAAGGCCATGCCTGTCACGCTGCACCTGCTGCAGGTAGGGCCCTGTGTGCCTCCTGCCTGGGACAGCTCCTGGGCACCTGGCAGAGCTTCCTGGCCCCTTCCCCGGGGCCTTGGTTAGCACAGATGTCTGTCCCGGAGGAGACCGTCCCTGCTTCTGTCTGTTGCTCAGGAACACAAAGGGGCATTTACAGAAAACCCACCCTGTTTCTCGCTGAGGATCCTGGGTTCCACACGGGACAGTAGCCCTCAGAAAGGGTATCCGCCTCACAAGCTGGTCCCCAGCCCCTGCCCCATGGGAGCCTCGGAGGGCCTGTGAGGAGGGTCTGATTGCCGTCCCCCCAGCCCAGGCTGCTTGCCTTACAGTCTACGCGGGTCGGCATGTCTGTCAACGCCCTGCGGAAGCAGAGCTCCGATGAGGAGGTCATCGCGCTGGCCAAGTCTCTCATCAAGTCCTGGAAGAAGCTCCTGGGTGCGGGTCAGGTGGTGCGGGCTGGGAGCTGGGGCCCCTTGCTGGTCAGCTCTGTGTAGGGTGCTGGCAGTGCTGTCCCTGAGCCCGGGCCAGCTGGGAGTGGGGTCGTTCCAGAACTGGTCCAGGAAGGCTTGGGGCTGGGACGACAGGGGATCCATCGAGAGCAAGGAGAAAAGACTGCTGCAGTACTAGCAGGACTGCACTGAGGGTGGCCAGGGACCTGGAGGGACCTGGCACAGAGAGAGGGGTCAGGGCAGCTAGAGGGCAGGGAGCCGGAGGAGATGTGGGGGAAGAGGAGGAGGGGAGAAAGCTGAGAAAGGGAGAGAAGAGGAGAAGGGGGCACAGGCACTCAGACGGGACAGGGGGGGCAGCTGGGGTTGCAGGGATGCCCACCTTGGGACCCTGAGGCCCCCCTCCCTTCCCAGCCTTTCCTGGGCTCTGTCCAAACCCTTGCAGAATAGAGCTTTTGTCCTGGGTCCCTCTAGTCCTGCGTGGCCATCAGCCTACGTGTGGGACAAGTATGTTTATTCTGGTGGCGTGGGGGATGCTTCTCATCCTGTGGGATGGTCCCCAGCACAGGCTCGGGTTTCAGGAGCCTTGTGGGGGACGTGCTCAGTGGTTGGCAGTTCGCTGTGACCCCCAAGGCCCAGCTGGGGGATGACCACCCCTGGTCTTCGTCCAAGTTCAAACACTTCATTTGTGGGGGCTGTCACTCAGGGGCCTCCATACTGAAGGGTCGCTTTGGGCAGGTGGCTGTCCTTTCTGCCACGATGGCAGACCCCAGAGAGGCCTCACAGGTGGCCTATTTGAGGGGGGTAAGAAAGGAGTGTGGAGGCTGTCTTAGGACCTTCTGAGGAGGGAGGACAGAGGGCCCCAGGTATGGAAGGCTCAGCAGCTAGGGTCCCGGCTGGGGTTAGGGTGGGCGGGTTAGAGCTGGTGGTTTGACTAAGGCTGTGCCTTGGTGGTGATCTGCTCCCCTCCCTGGCCTGGCCCTGCCCTCTGGTTCTGCCTCCCCCTGGCCAACCTCTCCCTTTCCTGGCACCTGCAGATGCTTCAGATGCCAAAGCCAGGGAGCAGAGGAGGGGCGGGCCTCTGCCCACATCGTCCTCGAAGGAGGCCCCCGAGGCCAAGGATCCCAGGTGGTGCATCTGGAACATTGGTGCTTGCCCTCCTTCCCCCACCCCCCCAATCTGTCCCTCCTGCTCAGCAGATGAAAGTGCAGGTTTCCCTGTGCCCTGGGGCTGCTGAGGCCATTCAAATGAACACATCAGCCCTTCCAGTTCCTTGGAAGGGACTTTCCCAGGGGAGCCCTGCCTGGCCTGGTGGGCCTCTTGCTGCTCGCTTCTCTTCCAGAGCTCCTCTGGACTCTGTGTTTTTCCAGCCCCAACCATCTGTAGGGTGGGGCTGTGTCCACCCGGCTGCATGGAGAGCCATGTGGGAGCCGTCTGCTGCCGTCCCCCAGCTCCACATCCCTGTCCTGGGGTCTGGTTTGCACTGGCTGAGCAGCCCCCTTAGCCCGGGGTCCCACTGCTGCTGAACCCTTTTCCTCTTGGGTGCCCCAGGCTGCGGCATGACGCGAGTTCTGGGGGCACTGAGGCCTCACTGCTGTGGCCCCAGGGAGGGCAGTCATGGAGACTGGGGGTCCTCATGGGGACAGGCTGTGGCCCATAGGCTGCTTTGCCTTTGACCTCACTGGACAGAGGTGGCAGGAGGCCAGCAAAGGCTGATCTCTCAATTCAGTGTGGTTGTGCAGGGCTATGGGTTCATCTACCCATCGGCACCTGTTGCTCCCTCCAGGAAGCGCCTGCTCCCCCTAACTTATGTGGGGGTCACGAGACGCAGGGGTGTGAGGGGAGGGCTGGGTAGATGCAGCTTTGTGGTCAGGCAGCTTGTGGGGAGTGCCCAGTCTTTGAAGGGGCATCCGTGCTGGATGGGGCCACCTGTGGTCTCGGGCGACCCCCAACACCATCTGCCTCTCCCTGAAATGGCAGCTGGTATCGAGCAGTGTGGCCTGGTGTTCTGGCCTCCCGGAGGGCAGGGACCCTTCCAGGGGATGCTGCCCCCATAGGGCCCTCCTCTGGGCAGTACGCCCCAGCCAGTGGGCTTTACTGCCTCTGGCCAGCTGGGCAGATCCCTAGGGCATGCTGGGCTGGACTGCAGGGGGCAGGACATGGGCTGCTGTCAAGGTAGAAGAAACAGGATTCGGGGGATTGAGGCTGTACTCTTGGCTTTTCTGGGGACCCGTGTGTCTTTCTCCAGCCGCAAGAGGCCAGAGCTGCCCAGGATGCCATCGGCCCCAAGGATCACCACGTTTCCCCCGGTGCCGGTCACCTGCGATGCTGTGCGTAGCAAGTGCCGCGAGATGCTGACCGCTGCCCTGCAGACAGACCGTGAGTGCCCCGACGTGCACCCTGAGTCCTGGGATGGCCTGAGTTCAGAGGGTCCTCAGGGACAGCCTTCTCCCCTAGTCCATTGCAGCAGACCCCAGGTGGGGGGCAGGGGGTCTTGGGGTCACCAGAGCACCTGGGTCCTGGGCTTCAGTGCTGGGCAGGCTGCAAGTGGGGGGCAGCTAGTGGGGTGGCTAGCCAGGGTTGCCTCTTGCAGATGATCACATGGCCGTTGGTGCAGACTGCGAGGGCCTGTCGGCCCAGATTGAGGAATATATCCTTTATGTGGGGCTTTGGGATCTGGGGTTTCTGGTGGAGTCATGAGAACAGCCAGGCCCGGCTTTCCCTGGTGGCCACGGCCCCAGCGCCCTCGCCAGGAGGTTGGTTGGTGGACCAGGAGGGCCCTCCCTGGACCTGCTGAGGGACTGATTCTGCCTGCTGGTGGGGCCTGGGGCACTGGGGCTTTGAACCTGCAGCTGGGCCTCAGCCACGGGTGGGTCTGGTGGGGGCCCCCCTCAGCTGCCCCTCCACTCGCTGCCAGGCGTGGGTGGGCAGATGGAGTTGCTGGGCTCCCCTTCCCCTTGTGGTCCCTCCCCCCATATGGCCCTCGCTGGCCTCCCTCGGCTGGCCCCATGGGGTGGGTGGAAGGCAGCAGCGTTGGCCTCTGGATAGGTCCTTAAACACTTGCACGCATCTTCCGGGACGTGGGGAACACGGACATGAAGTATAAAAACCGTGTGAGGAGCCGCATCTCCAACCTCAAGGACGCGAAGAACCCTGACCTGCGACGGAACGTACTGTGTGGCGCCATAACACCCCAGCAGATCGCCGTGATGACGTCGGAGGTGAGTCCTGTTGGAGGGGCATGGGGACCGCCCCTGTGCACCGTGGTAAGTACGTGGCTCCTTGCCCAGGAGATGGCCAGTGATGAGCTGAAGGAGATCCGGAAGGCAATGACCAAGGAGGCCATCCGAGAGCACCAGATGGCCCGCACGGGAGGCACACAGACGGACCTGTTCACCTGCGGGAAATGCAGGAGGAAGAACTGCACCTACACGCAGGTGCGCCCCGGCCACCTGACCTCATGCTCCCCGGAGCCCGCGCCTGCCCCCGGGGGTCCCTGGACACACACACTGTGGAGGGCACCTTTGGAACCTCCTCCGTTGCCCAGCACCCCTGGGCCCCAGTGAGCAGCGTCTCCGGGGTGGTTTGCTCTGGGCACTAAAATGGGGGGGCCTGGCCTCCCCCAGCTTGGAGGGGCCCCAGGAATGTTGCTGTTGGCCGGTGGGTGGATGTCCTTCAGCCTGGCGGTGGCCACAGGACGACGCTCAGACCCATGGAGGTGGCGCTGATGTGGACCTCAAGATATGCCAGGGGTCCCTGTAAGGTCCCTGGTAAGGCACAAGGGTTGGAGTCGCTGGGCAGGCTCAGTGGGGGTCCCCCAGAGGGGCCGAGGGGCTACAGTGCTACCTGAGGGGACGGGTAGCCTCCCCACGCTGTGACTCCAGGGAAGACCTGCATCTCGGGGCCTCCTGCTCCAAGCGACGGAGTCCTGGGGCTGGGGCTGGCCCCCTCTCACCATAGCCCTCCCCACAGGTGCAGACCCGCAGCTCTGATGAGCCCATGACCACCTTTGTCGTCTGCAATGAGTGTGGAAATCGCTGGAAGGTAGGTGGGCAGGCCTTCTCTGGAGGTGGGTGTCTCCAGCCTGTGTGGGACCCATGTGACATGAAATGGGGGACAGCCATGCCCAGCCAGCCTCCTGGGGCCTCAGAGCAGGTGGGTGGAGACCCAGCCCTGTCTCTCGCCCTGCGGGGGCCCTGGGGTCCATGTGGCTGATGCCTCTCGTCCGTCTGCTGCAGTTCTGCTGAGCCCTCCTTGAGATGTGTGTGAAGCCTTGGGCTGTGGCCAGCACATTGCCATAGCCTTCCTTGTGTCCTGTCGACAGACTCCGCTTCTTGAGACCTACCCTGTGCCCACCTGAACTTCCCCAGAGGGCTGTGCACCCTGCTCTCCCATCTTGCCTGCAGTACACCTTTCTTCCTTTCCCCCCAAATTATTAAATGTTTCTTTTTGCCATCGTGCAGTTTCTGGCCCTTGGTTCTGGTGGACCCACAGTCCTGGGCTGTGAGCTGGGTCTCCTGCCCCCCATGTCTGGCCCACCCCCCCTCCCCCCACCACGGGGGATGACGACCCTCCTCCTTGGGATCAGGTGATACTTAGGTTTGGCCCTGTTGGAACAGAGATGGAGGGAAGAGCCCGTGGGCCCTCAGAACACTGGGGGCAGACTCTGCCTGTGTGTGCCCATGGATGAGGGGCAGGTGCTGGGGGTACACAGCATGGCGTGGGCATGCACAGACATGGGACCAGGTGGGAGGGGGCCTTAGGCACACAGAGGACCCAGGGTCTCCCGAACCTCCCCAGGCACTGTAGCTCAGGGCCCAGGGCTTATGGGCAGGAGGCTACGTCTGGGTGCCCTAGCCATTCACGATGACTTGTCCTCACCCTGACCCTCTGCTCCTGACGACGGAGTGGACGGGGTGGGCCCTGGACCCACTACAGCTTTGAATTGCTTCGCCTCCTAGAGATTCAGGTAATAGGGTGGCAAGCGCGTGCCTTGTGGAGGCCATCCCCATCGGCGTCCCGCCCTGGCCTTGGCACCCTCACTGGGGCAGGGTTGAGCACCGCTGCCCACTGGGGCCAGGTCTCCTCTGCTCCCTGCACTAGGTCTGGGACAATTCTTCATTCCTGAATCTCCCCCCAGATGTGGAAAGAGAGGAGAGACGTTTGCATTAAAAATATCTTCAATAATAAGATCCTATTTTGGATGAAAAAGGAATGGAGATAAATATGAAAACATTTCTTTCTTTTTTTGATAAAATACAGTAAGGACATGTTTCCAGGTTTAAAATTAATGAAAATATAAAAAAGAAACTGGCTCCTGTTGCCTCAAGCCTAGTTCTGAGGTTCTGGGTCCGATCTGGGTGCAGACAGCTTGAATCGGAGGGTTTTCTCACGTCACAACTAGACAATACAGAGACCCTGCTTCCCATCAGAGGCATTTCTCAAGGTCCCCGGCTGCCTGGGAAGGAGGCCCAAGTGAAGCTGCTGGGTCCACGAGAACTCCTGGGAGGGTCCCTCTCCCCAAGCAGGAGCCCCAGCAGAAGCACTTGGCCAGTCGGCGGGGAGCCGGTCGGGGAGGGGCCGCCTGGTCCCAGAGGCCCTCACACCTGCCTCTTAGCAGGACCTCAGGGTACGAGGTCCCTTGGGTAGAGAGGGGGCTCCAGCCTGGGACTGCCCCCAGGGGTGCTGGGCCCCCGCGGTGTGCCGGACACCTGCCGACACGCTTGTGCAGGTCACCCAGTCTGCCCACCGGAGGGGTCCCGTGTCTGTGCCGCTGTGATGGGCAGCCTAGGCCTCGTTGGAGGACTGGGAGCTCCCCCGCAGCAGAAGGGCACGGTAGGTGGGGGAGCTGAGGAAGCGGGGGTAGGAGTCCCGGTGCATGAGCGTGTAGATCTGCAGCTGTGCGTCGTCGAATGTGTGCGCGGACGGCTCCTGCATCTTCTTGTTGATGCCTTCCCGCACTCGGGAGTCCAGGCTCACCTGTGGGACAGGACGCCAGGGTCAGGGGCCCAGGAGGTGTCCCCCCCGCCACCGAACCCTTGCCCTGGGTCCCCCTGGCGGTGCACCTCCTTGGGGGACAGGATGGACACGTAGTCCTCGTAGATGAGCCTGGCCTTCTCGTCCACCACGTGCTGGTTGGCCTCCGCCTTGAGCTCCTCACAGGCCAGCCAGAAGAGCATGTTCTCCTCGCTGTACTCCGTGCGCAGGAACTCCCGGAACACGCTTCGTCCCGCCGGGCTGTGCATCAGCTTGTCGAAGGACTGCGCCCAGCTCCGCACCTCCTCAGGGCTTGGCGTGGCACTGTGGGCATTCCCCGCCAGGCCAGGTCAGGCCTGCTCCCCCACCACCCAGACACACGCACCCACGGCTGGCCACACCTACCATGCCTCACAACTGGGGAGAGGCTGCAGCTTGTTCTCCCGGGAGGCCCGCCATGCTCGCCGCCGCTCTTCATTCCTACCCGCAGAGAGAAAGGTGGGACTGGCCTCCACGGTACCCCTGGCCTTGGCGCGCACACACATACACGCACACGGGGCACGGGGACTCTCAGCTTGTGTGTGAACCCACTGCAGGTGGGCAGCTCTGGAGTCTGCACTGCTCACACCTTCCAGGGAAGGAGGGTCTGCACCTGCTGCAGCCCACCACCCTTCCTGTCTCTCCCCTGGGACCGACGCTGTCTCAGTGGTGTTCGGGAGACCTCTCCTGTCTCCTAGCCCTCGGGACTTCACTGATTCCTTGTGCGCCTCCCTGACCTGACCTCAGCCCCCACCCCTTTCTCCCAGAGGCCCCAGCTGATGCGGTAGGAAACCCCCAGCCTGTGTGTGTCTGCTTCTCCCCAAGGGACCGTTTTCCCGCCCTTGGCTCCTCACCCGGTGTCGGGGCTGGCTTCCACATCCATGCCTCCAGCCAGATCTCCCTCCAGGGCCACTGGAATGTCTAACAGACATCTCAAACCCAAACAGACAGAGAACTCTGTTCCTCTCCTACCCTATCTGCTGGGCCCCAAACTCTCCCTCGGCCCCCACAGCCAAAGTCTTAGTGCGTCCTAATTCTTCACGGCTCCCCTCTCCCGCCTCACGCCTGAACTGCTCACTAGTCAGCAGGCCCCCCTTTGATTCCCCACAGCGCTGTCCACTCAACAGCCATGGGCTGGAAGCCTGAATAGGGCCAGGCCTCTGTCAGACATGAAAACTCCTAACAGCTTCTCCACAGGCTTATAGAACCCTGTTACCACCTGGAGGCCCCACACCCGCCCTCTGGCAGGCCGCTCTGGAAGCTCATCCCCACTGTCCCCAGGCCAGGTCCCTGCTCAGTGTCCTTCCACCTAACAGTGTGTAGGATGTGCTTCTGTCTCTCCTCTGTAGGACCCCAGGGCCAGCTCAGGCTGGGTCACAGCAGCATCAGCACGTGCTGAGTAAACGGACAGAGGAGTGCCCACATGGTGGACTGGCCAGGTGGACACGGACACATGGACAGACCCTCAGGCACACCACACATGAAAGCCACACATACAGAGAGGTCTGGGCATTGGCCACTGGCCAGCGGGGCCCCGCAACCCCTGGACGAGGGCTGTGGGAGGCAGGGCCTCATGAGCCACCTGAGGGTCTGGGGGCAGGACCTGGGGCCCCACGTCGGCACAGCCCCCCTCCCCACCGTCCCTGCCCCCCACCCCAGCCCCCACATACCAGGAACAGCTGCAACAGCAGCACCAGCACAAGCAGCAGGGGTTGCGGCTGGGGGCAGCCGGGGGGGCCGCGTCATGACTGGACATCGAGGGGGGCTGGTCTGCCTCCTCTGGCCCTACGTGCTGGTGACATGGGGGCCTCCTCAGCTCCAGGCCAGAACCTGGGGCCCCCACACCTCTTCCCTGACTCCCCTCGGTGGTCACCCCCCGGCCTCCCAGGCGGTCAAGGGTCTCCCAACTCTTCGCCCCCCGCCCCCGTTCCCACAATGGGGGCAGAGGCAGGGGTGGAGGTGCTGCACCTGCTTCTCAGTCTCATGCGGGGTGGGCATGGGTGGGTGGAGGAGGTCGCCCGGGCTCCGTGGTGCTGGCTCCGGGACCCTCACCACAGCCTGGGAGTCTGAGAAGAGAGGTGGAGGTTCTCACTGAGAACCTGGGACCATAGTCTATACTTGTCCCCTGGAAGGGGTCCTTCCAAGAGCCCTGGGGGGCCTGGTCCCCTGCCCCCACCTTCAGGCCACTCTATTCAGGCTCCTACCTCTGCCCCAGCCTACACCAGGGCTGTGAGCAGGGACAGGGACAGTGAGGAGGGGGCCCCAGACAAGATCTCCACAGGAGGTTCCGGGACACCCTCATTTGCTCGGTCCCTGGGAAGCCGGAAGTCTGGGTTCCTCTTTCTTGGTTTCCGGCTCCTGGCCCCTCCCAAGAGGACTGGGGGCCCCAAGAGTCTGGGGCTACAGGTTAATGCATAAGGGTGGTAGTAAGACATTCAGACCCCCTCCCCAGCTCCCTCCATTCTGGGTTTTCTGCAGGGGGTGGGGGAGGTGGGGAGGGTTGCTCCCCACCAGGAGTCCACATCAGTGTGGGCCCCAGGGGACTCCAGCCTGTTTGCAGCTGACTAGGTCTGCAGCATGGAGGAGACGAGTGGGGCAGGACTTTCTGAGGGTGTGGGAAATGCAGCAGGGCACAGATGAGGAGGGCCATGAGCCTCCCTGGGAACCCATGGCTCCTAGGTCCTAGACGCTGCCCCTAGCACCCCAACCCCCAGCTGGTACCTTACCTCACCCAGGGTCTCCCAGCTTCCCTTCCTCCCACCCCCACCAGGCTGTGGAAACCAATACAGCCTGGGATGCCAGTGGGGGAGGGGAGCGGGGGGGTAGCAATGGGTTGGGGTGTCCTGCATCCTGGGTCAGAGACGCGGGATCCCTGGAGGGGGTGAGGGCCAGCATTCTCTTCAATGTCTGTACCCATGTTTCATGGTGGAGGCACCCAGGGGGCATGGGCCCTGGAGCCCCAAGCCAGGGTGAGGAGCCTGATCCCCCCCACCCCCACCCCTGCGAGGCCAACCACAGGTCCCACCAGGGTGGGCAATCAGTGCTCTGGGGGCAGTTTTGAATGCTTTCCCACCATGGCCCCTGCCTGTGCCCACCTTGGCCTAGGTGAGGACCCACAGGGCCTGGGGTGCTCCCCTGCGTGGCTGAGCCGTCCAGTCCTGTCCCCAAGCCCCATCTTGGCGGCCTGGAGGCTCATGACTTGCTTTCACTTTGTTTTCTCATGTAATTATCATCCTCCCTGCTGCCCCCATCCCTCAGCTTGTGGACTTTCAATCCCCCTTTGGTCCATGTTGGCCTCTTGGGATCTCCCAGGGTAGGAGGGAAGGGTGGCTGCTCTAGGGCTGGCACCACAGCAGAACCGGGCTAGGCAGCTCCTGGAGCAGGGATGCCAGGACCGCGCATGAGTTATGCACCCTTGCCTCCAGGACCTGGGCATGCAGAGGCCCTGCCCTGACCCGAATCTACGGTGGAAAGTATAGGATCCTCTGGGGCTGAGGCCCCTTACCAGCTACCTGGCTTTCCCTGAGGCCATGGGGGAGGGGACCCTCCAACTGGGTCCCACAGGCTCCAGGCAAGCAGATGGGGAAGCAGCAGCCCCACAGCTTGCCTTTCCCTCAGGGGTCAAGCTTCTAGGGAAAGGAAGGGGTGTGGCAACCTCTGAGGTCTGGTAGCCAGGCAGAAAACTGCTCTTCCTCCTCTGCACCCCCACCCACTGTGAGTGGGGGCAGGGCCCTGTCCCCTCTCCCCTCCCTAGCATCCAAAGACTCAGCTCTGAATTAGAGGAGGGGCCCTGTCTGGGGGTGCAGATCCAGGGGGCTCTGGGGCTGGAGGCTGTGTTTGGGGTCAGTGTCTTCTGTCCCAGCTGCAGGCCTGGACTTGGCTCCCTGCACCTTCCTCAGGCTGACTGGGGTCACCTGTTCACTCACTCTCTGCTGAGGTGATACAGGGTCTGAATTGGGGTTCCTGCCCCTCATCCTGGCATTTGGGAGGGGACTCGTTCCCTTTTCCCAGCTCCTTAGGCTCTGGCCCCCAAGTCTGGGTGGGAGAGGTTGGACAGGCAGCAAGCCTGGTCTCTGGGGACAGAGGTTCCCTTGGGAGCAGCTGCTACTCTGCTCCACAGAAGGAAAAAGAACGTCCCTGAGCCCGCCCAGTCCAAAAAAAGAATAAGAAAATGTGACAATCTCAGAAAAAAATGCCATAACCTTTGGGCGGAGGGCTGACAGAGGGGCTCCTTTCCCTGCTTCTGATGGCACTCAGTACGTTTCCTGTCGCTGCCCCCCATCTGATAGGTGGGGGCGCCCCAGCCTGACTCCTCCAAGGCAGGCCCGGTCTTTCTAACCCTGGTGACCCTTGCCCCCACCCCACCTCTGCAGTGGTGGGGGCAACCTGTTTCTCTCTCCCTCTCTGCTGGCAAGGTCTGGCCTGGTAGAGCTTGTCTCCTTCTTCAGGGGTCCCTTCCCCCAGCCTCTGACTGACGCCCCCACCCCTATCTGAAGGAACTCGCCATGGCGCCCCACTCACCATCGACCCAAAGGCGAGGTGGGGGCGGGAGGGGCCAGGTTTCCTCTGGGCCCCACCCTGGCTGCCGAAGGGGCGTGCACTGCAGCAGCCGGGACTCGAGTCAGACGGCAGGAGGTACTCCTGCGGCGTTCTGGAGGGAGGCCGGCGCCGGGAGCCCCGGATCAGCTGGGGCCGGGGGCGCAGCGCCTCCCCTGCGCCTTGCAGGGTGAGTGGCTGCCAGATCCAAGGGGGTGGGGGTGGGGGCGGACAGGGTGTCCCGCCTCGGCCCCTCCCCACCAGGCTGGGGGGGGCGGGAGACGCGGAAACCTGGGTTCTTCCGGCCCCCCCTCCCTTTGAGCAATCACTTCCCCAGGCTTTGAGCTGCAGAAAAAGGGGAACCGGTTGCAGCGCCCCCTCCCCCACGCGCGGGGGACTGGCTCCAGTCCCGCCGCGGCCCAGGGTCCACGTGGACCCCGCGGCTGGAGTCCTTGGGGTGCGGATCCGGGCGCCAGCTCCCGAGGCTCCCGCCCCGTACGGCCTCCGGGCCCCGGGCCGGGAGGGGCAGAGCCGCCGTCCTCGGCGCCGCGCGCGCGCGCACTCACCGGCCGCGCTCCCGAGCCGCTCGCGCCGCCGCTGCTGGCCCGCGCGCCCCGAGGTCCGGCCGGATCGTCGGGGAGGGGGCGCAGGGTGCAGTGCGCAGGCGCCTCGGCTGCACTTCCCCAAAGCGCGGGGACGGGACTTCCTCGCGCGGGGAGGTGCCCGGCCCGCCCTGCCAGGCGCGCCCCGCCCCGCGCTCGGCTGGCCTCGTGCCCCACCCGCCCCCTCCCCATCACCCGGCAGATCCGGCGGGGCGCCCAAGTCCCCGTATCGCCTAGGGGGAGCCTGTGGAGATGAGGTGCTAATAATGGGGCCTCTGGACCCAGGGCGGCCTGAGCTGGTACTGGAATAGATGGGGGCGTGGCCGTGTCCCCCACTCTGTTCAGGGGGGCCAGTCCAGCTTTGCCATTCTTGTGGGTGTTCATGAGACTCTGGTCCAGTGTCTGGTCACAAGTGCCCTCAAGACCCGGGGTCCTAGACGCTCCTTGCCCTCCAGGCCCTGCCCTAGCTTCTCTGCGACTGTGGGCTCTCCCCTGTAAAGCAGGGTTAAGAGTGAGCTGGCACCGTGCTCTAGGGGGCTTCCCAAGGAAAGGGGGTCCGATGCCGCGGTGCTGGTGGGTGCTGGGGGTATGGGTTCTTGCATCTGGAATCACCAAATGTTCCTGTCTGTGGGGACTGGGTGAGTCTTCCAACGCCTCCAGTTGCCCCAAGATATCCTAAAGTTTAAAGCCACACCCTCCCTTTTGCCCCGGATGCCCTGTCCCTTCTCTTTGGCGGACTCTCCTGATATTTTATGATCCGTTACAGCTGTCAGTTAGATTTCTTATCCCAGCATGCTTTGGGCCAGTGTCAGTGTGGTGCAGACCCTGCTCTGGAAATGGTCTGCAGTGTCTGTGCCCCCTGGCCTTGGACCACGTGCATCTCCTGTCCCCCGTGCAGGCACTCAGCCCGCCTGGTTCCTGATGCCCGAGGCCGGCACACAAAATGCCTTCCAGTTGCACAAGTCGATATGCACACGTTTCTCAGAACTCTTCAAGATGGAAAGGGAAGTGGTGATTTTACATGTGCCTCTCATTCATTCAGCAATGATCTGGGTGTACCCTGTGTGCCAGACACTGGTGGGCCCCAGCAGCAAGCGAGACAGGCGGACCAGCCCTGGGGCAGACAAGAAACAGACTGGCAGACTGGGTTAGAGGTCAGGAGGGCTAAGGAGGACTGCAGAGCAGAGGAGGGAGGTGTCACTCAGCAAAGGACAGGGTTGGCAGAACGGCAGGATGGGGGCCTTGGGAGAGTGGAGGCCAAGCTGGAGGAGAGTGTGAGACAAGGTCAGAGAGGTGAGAGGGGCCATGCAGGCTGGGGTGCCTCCTGGGGTTGTGTGCCCGGGGGCCTTGGCTGGTATGGCCACAGAGCTATCTGGCTGCCAAGTTGACGGGCTGGCCAGGCCAGGGCAGAGGCCGGAAGCCTGTCCAGATAGGAGGTGGCTGCTTCTTACTTAGCCTAGGTCACCGTCCTGAGAGGTAGGTCCTACAGAGTCAGGCCAGCATCTGCGCAACGTCACGCAGCCAGGCTGATCCCACAGTGTTTGGTGTGGTGTCTCTACCCCTTCCTGAGAAATGTGTGGCACAGTTGACCATGGGTGGAGGTCAGCACACTTCTCTCAGTACTCACGCCATTCCCTACTCCCTCCGCCCTCCCAGCCCTCTATGCACTGTACCTTCGGTGGCCACTCACTTGTGTCCTTTGGCCACTTGGACCTGCACTCCGTTCCCCTTGCCCCAGCCGTTCTGGCTGTCCTGCACCTTCTCTGGTGAGTCTGTCTTTACACAGAGCATACCCATATTCCATGGGAGGAATCCAGATGGGCTGGGCAGTAACTTGTTCAAAGCTATGCAGCAGGTAATGGTGGCTATGGGGTTTAAACCCAGGATGCTCTGTCCAGAGCATGAGCATGACTGCAGCCCCAGGAATCTACCCGACCCCACACAGTCTCCAGTACACTGGGCCCTGGCCTGCATGCTTCACTCTCCCATAGCAGAAACCTTGTCTGGGCTCCACAGAAATGTCCTCAGCCACTTTCCCTGGCCTCCCCTGCAGACCTCGGGCCCCCCTCCCTGGTATGGGGATCAAAGGGCCCACCAAGTTCTAGCTCAGTGCCTGGTGCAGAGCTGCCTGTGAGACCACTCTGTTGCTGGTCTTCTCCGTGGGGCTTTGTGTGGTCCCCCGTTGCAGGGTAATCCACACCCTTATGGAGCCCTCCCTGTGCTCACTCACTCACAGCCCAGGTGAGACCCTCAAGATCTCTATTTTAAAGATAAAGAAATGGAGACTCAGAGAAGTGATGGAATGAGATATGCATTTACCAAACAGATGAAATGGTTCTAGGTGGTCAGTACATCCCCATGAGACAGAGTGCTGGGGTCCTGGGGAGTCAGGGCTGGCTGTCATTCTGTTCATGATATACGTGGACAGAGAGAACATCTGTTCAGGGTGTACGTGGACAGAGAGAAAGCCTCCCTTTCCCTGGCGATTTGTCCTCAGCCCACACCAGCTTCTCTCCCCCTGTTCCTCCTTCCCCAGCTCTGCTCAAACACCCCCCCCACCCCCCCCGCCATGACTGCCATGCATAGCTCTCTCCTTCCTCCCAGAGCTGCCGCTCTCTCCTTCCTCCCAGAGCTGCCGCAGACTCCAAGCTCCACACGCAGTTCTGGGCTTGGACCAAGGCCAGGGGCAGTAACAGCACAGAAAGGGTGAAGGGTCAGGTGCAGGGAGAAGGACTTACTGAGGGCCACTCAGCAGGCGTCCCTGGCACGGGTTGGGGGGCTTGTCTGAATCCTTTTGGCCCCCACCTCTGCAGCTGGTTAGGGACTAGGAGGGAAGAAAAGGGAGACGTGGCAAGTTCTAGGCTCTGCAAAGAGCGCGTGTCAGGGAGAAGAGTACTAAGTTCTCTAAGGAAAGATCTGTCCAGAAAGTTGGGAGACTCTTCAGAGTTCAGAGCCTTTGCACGAGGTGGATTTGTCAGAACAGGACACGGGTGGTTTCCTTCCTGTATATGTATGTCTGTGTGTGAGGGGGATAGAGCAGAGCTGAGGAGGTCATTCAAGATGAAAAGGTGATTTTCTGTCTGGAGAAGTCGGGGCCTTCCTGAGGTGGTCTCCTTTTCCCCAGTCTCCCCCAGTCTCGGTTCCCCGGAGGACCTCCCCGGCACAGCCGGCTCCAAAGGCCACCTTTGGCTTGTGCAGTCGCTTGTCCTGCCCAGAATGTCACCCTCCTCTCTGACCCCTGATGGAATGACCTACAATCTGGGGTCCCACTTGGGCCCCACTTTCTCCCTGAGCTTGCCCTTCACTTCTGGGGTTGTGACAGTTGCCCTGACCCAATTCTTATTCCTGTCTCCTCAGACTGGAGGCTCTCAGAGACTTGCAGGGCACCAGGTTGCCTGATGGGGGCAGAGCGGTATTTGAGGGATTACCAGCATCCTCTGTTAATCTGACACCTGCCCGCTTGCATCCCCCTTCTACTTTGTTGGAGGGCAACCCCCCCCCCCGCCCCCGCTCTGTGTATCCAGATGTCTGCGATCGGATGCAGGGGAGGCAGCATCCATACTCTCCCCTTCCCTCCGGGGGAACCTGGAGAGAGGCAGCGTAACGACCAGGGGGCGCTTGGACAATGAGAACTTTATATGGGAGGGTGGGGCGCGTTCGCATCCTGTGGGGTCCCAGTCAACGTGGGAAGATGCTGCCATCAACTTTCTCCTCTAGAATGGTCTCCACGCGCCTCCTCTGCGGGTGAGAGGGGTTGGGGCCAAGTGTACGGGGAGGAGGGCGGGGACCCCCCCTCCGCCCCTTCCCCGGCCTGTGGGCACCTCTTGACGGTCCAGGGGGTCTGGGATCCGCGTTGGCTTCAGCCGCGGCGGCAGGAACAGCTCCAGCCGGATGGCGGCGCGCGCGGACTTCTGCTGCAGGATGAGGAGCGAGATCTCCTCCGCCTGCAGGTCGCGGGGTGGGGGTGAGGGGGTGTTTCTGAGTCTACGCGTTAAGTTTTGCCTTGCTCCGCCCGCCCCCTCCTGCAGGGCGCCTGGGCCGGTCCCTCCCGCCGTTTGATCCATCCCCACCCACCCTTTCCTCAGCGGACCAGGGCCGGTCTCCGCACCCCGCCTGCCCCCCCACCCCGCCGGGCCCCCAGCCTTCCCGCCTGCGCGCCCCTTCCTTCCGGCCCCTAGCCTCACCCGCATGCGGATGTAGCGCAGCCGCAGGGCACGGATTCGTCCTCGGGCCTCCGCTGCCTTGAGGACGCCGAGGAGCATGTCCTGGCGCACTGCGGGCAGCTCGAGTGACTGCGTCCACGCGCGCGGGTCGGGCATATGGTACCCCAGCTCCACTGACTCACGGGGGAAGACGGAGGCGGCCACGCCCACGTCCTCAAGCAGGTCCCCGAAGAGCAGGTGGCGGTGGCGCTGCGGGGGGCGCATGGCCGCCAGGCCTTCCGGCGATAGGGCCCAACCCGGCTTGGGGGGCTCCGCCGCGGGCGGCCCCTTGGCGCGCTCCTCACGGGACCCCTTTCCTGTTCGCTCCCGCGGGCCCCTGCGCCCAGCCTCCTTCGCCGCTGGCGACTGCATCCTGGGCCCGCCCTGCCGAGGGAAGAATGAGTTCCACTGGGCACCTACCAGCTCCTCTGGCCCGGCCTGGCCGGCCCGGCCCCTCTAGATTCCCCACAGCGGGCTTTAGGTCCTGCCCCTCCAGGCTCTGCGCCCTTTTCTTTTTTCTTTTTTCTTTAAGATTGATTGATTTGAGAGAGATAGAGAGAGAGCGCCTGCGCGAGAGAGCAAAGGGAGCGAGGGGCAGAGGGAGAGAGAGTCTTAAGCAGATTTCCGCGCTGACCGCGAGCCCCAAGCCCATCAATCTCACGACCTCAGCAGAAACCAAACCGACTGCACCACCCAGGCGCCCCCAGCCTCTGCACCTTTGGGCAAGCCTAGCACCCATCCTATTTATCCTTGCAGTCAGCCATAAATTTCTGATTCACTTAATTTCAGAAAATTCCCTTCCTGCCCACGGGCTGTTTCTCTGTCCACTGAGAAAATGCTGAAACCCCTGAGTTGACCTCTGGCCCTACCCAGGGGTGGAGACCCTGTTAAGACTGATCTGGGTGAAGCTTGGTAGACCCTTCCCCACAATTCTGGAACCCTTGATGTGTCCCAGTCCCCCATGTCTGTGGCTGCCAGTCCGTCAGCAAACCCCCACCCCACTGGAACCTCATGGCTGCTCTAGTTTGGCCAGCCCTGGCCTAGACCCCTCTGCCTTAGTGTTAGGGGCTGGAGATGGAGGGGATGGGCAGAGGAGATGTGTGTGCTCTAGTTTGTATGTTCTTGTGTGGGTCAGTCTGTGTGTCTGTGGGAGATCCCACATATGTGTCAGGGATGCTGAAAGCAGAATGGACCGCTGGCTTGCTGCCCAAGGTGGGGTGGGGTAGGGGTGGTGGGGGCAGCCCATCCTCCTAGCCTGTGCCCTGCTGGGTCTAGATGGAGGAAGGGAGAGCAGAGCCCAGGGTGGTGATAGACCAGTTAGGGCCCACAAGTGGGGAGAGGGAAATGCCCCTAAGGTCCTGGCTCAGCCCTCCTTCCCAGCCCACAGCACCTCAGGCCCCAGAGCCTGGGCCACATCCTGGCCCACTGTGGGGGGGAGGCAGAGCCACAACGAGGCATCTGCTGGCGGCCAGCTCCCTCCCACACCCCATTCTTAGCTACAGCGGTCAAGGGCCTGGCCCTTGTCCCCCTTCCCTACACCCATACTTTCCACTTTCTAGGGTCTGAGCCTCTAACCGAGGCCTGACTCCCTGGGGCTTGTTGACGCGGTTGCCTGGCAACAGGAGTCCCGCCCCCCCCCCTCCCCGCGGGAGCTGGAGCGGGGCTGTCTCTGGGAAGGGAGGGGCGTGGGCAGAGCCCGGGTCCAGGTGCTTGGACGGTTCCTCCATTCGAGGGGGGGAAATGCCTGCAGTTGTCCCGGCCCCTTCCAGGCTGGAGGAGGTGACCGCCAGCTTTTCCAGTCTGGGTGCCCTTTCTTTTCTTCCTGGGGAGCCCCAAACGCACTCTTGTGGGGGCTGTGGGCCCAGCTTCCTGGCTGGAGAGGTCTTCGGCGGCTAGTTTTGGGGCAGAGGGCATAGCTTATGAGACCTTCCTGTCTGATACGTTTTCCCCGATGCATGACCCAAAAGGGCTCCCACAACCGCTGTTGTTCACAGGAAGGGAAACTGGGGCAGAGCTCAGGACCCCTTACCTCTTCCAGGGCAAGTTTGGGGTCTGGGGGGGTCCCTCAAGTTCCCAGAGCCAGGTTTTGCTGAACTCCAAATTTCTGGGTCCTGGGACCTAGATTTCTGTGATCTATTTTTTTATTTTTTTTTTTTTATTTAAAGATTTTTATTTATTTGAGAGAGAGAGAGAACATGAGGAGGGGGTGGGCAGAGGGAGAAGCAGGCTCCCCACTGAGCAGGGAGCCCGATGTGGGGCTCGATCCCAGGACCCTGGGATCATGACCTGAGCCGAAGGCAGACACTTAACGACTGAGCCACCCAGGCGCCCCCTATTTTTTTTTTTTAAGATTTTATTTATTTATTTGACAGAGAGATAGAGAGAGTGCACAGATAGAGTGGCAGGCAGAGGGAGAGGGAGAAGCAGGCTCTCTGCTGAGCAGTGAGCCCGATGTGGGGCTCGATCCCAGGGCCCTGGGATCATGACCTGAGCTGAAGGCAGACGCCCAACCGACTGAGCCACTCAGGCGCCCCTCTGTGACCTATTTTTGTATTTGTTAATTTCATACTATTTTATAACCCGTTCACTTCTCAATGTATTAATTCTATAACTCACTCATGCACTCATCAGTTTATTCTAGAATTCATGAATCCGTATGGTCCGTGCTACAGTTCACACTAGGCCAAAGTTAGTGCGCTAAGTCCATAATTTGTTAATGCATGGGTGACTTCCATGGTGCTTACATAACTGTCCCCTTCATTCACGGATGTGTGCCAAGGGCAATGGTGCTTTTTTGTGGGTTTAGGACCTGCACCCCTGAGATGGGAACTGTCCTGGCTTTGGAGGTGGGGTCTCAGCGGACCAGGAGGTTGTTGATTGTTCACCTTGTTTTGGGAAGCTTGCTCTGGTTTCCTGGTGAAAAGGTAAACTATGACTTTGAGCCCCTATATCCCAGGGTGTGCACTACCCTCAAGCTCCACTGAATGACTGTCCATCCTTCCAGCCCCCAAGCCTTTGGACAAGCTGTTCCTGTATGCTGCCTGTTCCTGCCCAGTATGTGCCTTTGGGGTGTGGCCTGGGCCTTGGGATTCAGCACCAACCTTGGGGCTTGTTGAAGACAAAGGTCTCTGGGATCCAGAAGCAGTGAGGGCTTAGGGAGTCTGACCTAACAGACAACCTCCTCCAGGCAGGCCTCCTGGATACATATAGCTCAGGCAGGGGCTGCTTCTGGCTCAACTCTGTGCTCCCACACTGGTGAGCTGTGGGTGGAGACAGGGATCTGGGCTCTCCTCTCAGCTTCGCAGGTCTGGGCCAGGAGGGCTCACAGAAGGGAATTGCTTGCTGGCTCCTGGCAGTGGAGTGGGTTTTATAGGGCGAGTGGGGGCATGCTTTCCTGCAAGAAGGGACTTGAACTTTCCCTCTGTTTTTGTAGGATTGAAAAACTTTGGTATCCCTCCTCCCCAATCCTCCGAGGGCTTGGTGCCCACACAGCTCAAATTCCTGAAAGTAGCTTCTTCCAGCTTCTCCCCACACCTTGTGGTTCCTGGGGCGGGGGTGGGGGGGATGAGGGAGGTGCTACCCGTGTGTCTGCGGCCCAACACCTGGGAGAGACCATCAGGCAGTGTCTTCCATCTATTTCTGTGTCCAGGATTCATGTGTTTTTCAAGGGCTGATGGAAATGCTGAGATCTAAAAGTATGTTGGTTGGCTCCAACGCCTGAAAATAAAACCCCAAAATAAAATTCAAAGCTTTATTAAATGACTGTAGAATTTAACATTATACTGAAAATCCACACACAACTCAATTCTCCTGTTGCCTTATATAACTATGATAAGGTTAAAATCACACAAACTAATTTATTATGATGAAACTCAGAATTTTTAAAATCCTTTCACTTCTTAACAGTACAAATGGGCTGCGGGCTGACCCGCCGTGGGGTGGCTGGTCTGTGTGAGGCTTCCGTTGACTGCACTGGGACCCCTGAGCCCAGCCCAGGGATGGCGAAGCAAGCCGAGGCACAGGGGAGCAGACAGAGTGCCTGCCTGGGGCCATGAGTGCTGACGTTTCTGGGCTCCGACTCACTGGGCAAGAGTAAAGTACATTCTCCCCACTTTGTGGGTGTAAATCTCTCTGGGACCCAGGTCTTGCTATGAATGCCATGACTCGCGAGTGTAGCCCAGGCAGCTCTAGGCACAGTTTGTGGACACATTCTGTGCTCATTCATGGGAGCTGTGTGCCTTGGGCTGTCCCTGGTTTCCCTGTGATGTGGGAAACAAAGGCCAAAGAAAAATTAAATTTCCTTACTACTTACAACCCATTGACAAGTCCTTGAAACAGGCAGAGTGAACTTCCTCTGGGAGCTCAGCTGCCTTGATGTGGACACTTTGCTAAGGGCAAAAGGCAATCTTAGCTCGACCCTCAGGATCCTGTGAGTCTATTTTTTTTTTGTGAGAGAGAGAGAGAGCAAGAGAGCTCGTGCACGCAGCGTGGGTGGGGGTGGCAGGGAGGGGCAGAGGGAGAAGGAGACGGGAGGATCCCAAGCAGGCTCCACACTCAGCCCACAGCTCAACTTGGGGCTTAATCTCACGACCCTGAGATCATGACCTGAATCGAAATCAAGAGTTGGTCGCTTAACTGAGCTACCCAGGCGCCCCTAAGTCTACTTTAAACGTATAGAAATTCCTTTGGAAACTTCCTTTATCTCTACCCCCCAAGATGTATGTTGGCAGTCATCCCCCAAACATATGACCCACCGATATACATCTGAAGTGTCTCATGACGGAGGGTTTACTAGACAGTAATAAATGACCTTTTCCTAACAATAACTAGCCCCTCAGGGTCCTGGAAACTTTGCTTCCAAAACACCTTGGAGGCTTGTGCTCTCCCTAACCCCCTCCCAACTTAAAAGTGTGTAATTAACCACTCCTCACAAGCCTGGTGCAGCTCTTTGTGCCCATGGGTCCCGTCCCCAGGCTTTAATAAAAACACCTTTTTGCATTGAAGATGTCTCAAGAATTCTTTTTTTTTTTTTAATTTTAAAGATTTTATTTATTTGCAAGAGAGAGAATGAGAGACAGAGAGCATGAGAGGGAGGAGGGTCAGAGGGAGAAGCAGACTCCCTGCCGAGCAGGGAGCCCGATGCAGGACTCGATCCCTGGACTCCAGGATCGTGACCTGAGCCGAAGGCAGTCGCTTAACCAACTGAGCCACCCAGGCGCCCTCAAGAATTCTTTCTTGGCCATTGGCTCCGAACCCCAACATTTCCACATCACCTGTGTGTTTTGTTTTGCCTGCATGTGACGTGTGTTTGAGGGTATCCTGCGTGGACACAAATGCTCTCTCACATAACAAGTCCCCTGCTGTCCCCTGTGTGACACCTGTGTTCTGTGTCTTACCCTGGCTGCTCAGGGGTCCCGAGAGGCCTGGGCTGTGTCCTCTGTGCTGCCAGCCCCCTTTGTGGGAGCGCTTTAGGGTCCAGGGAGTACAGTCAGCCTCCCAGCCTGGCCACCCACCAACCAGGTGACCTAGCCTGTACTTTGGCTAAGACTGTCCCCGTGAGGGGCACTCGCATGGGACGCTTTTCCAGACCAGCCTCATGGCCCACCCCCCTTTTCCTAGTCTGTGCCTGAGTAGGGAGGCCACTGAAGGCCACCATGAAATGCAGCTCTGTATGCTCCTGAGTGGGCAGGTGGGCAGAGGCAGCTGGGGCAGGGGGGACTGGGGTTGGCTGCTTAAACCTTGGTGAGCCCAGCGAGGAGAGGCTGCAGGAGGCCAAGCCTCCTTGGGTTCCTGTCCCTGCTGGGCTCCTGAGGTCAGCAGGATCCTGCTTCCAGCTTCATTTGGGGAGTGTGGTGCACGTATATGTCTCCTGTCTACTCATGTGCTTCGAGTGCATGTTGGTGTGGGTTCACGTGTGTGTGGCCCATGTGTTTGTGTGGCCTGCGAGTCCGTGTGCATTTCTGAGCATGAACCCATTTGTGTCTTCACTTGTGTGTCTATCTGGGCATCTTTGCGTGTATTTGCAGGCAGGTGAGACTGTGCGTCCCTGTGTGTCCCAGGTGAGTGTCTCTGTGGTCGTGCCCTGTGCCTCCATACTGTCCCTGAATCAGCTGCAGTGAAGATGCAGAGGTAAGTCCTGGGGGACAGCTTGGGATGCTGAGTCCTAGGGCATCTGCCTGCCCTGTCCTTTCCTGATTTGCCAGGTATCCTAGCAACGCTGCTGCCAGTCGCCTAGCAACCAGGTCCCCATCCTTGGAGATGGATGCTCCAAGCAGGGTCTGGGATATGTGAATAGAGCCTGTGCAGGAAGAAGGACCCCATGACTTAGAGGCTGTGACTCAGCTCAGGGGTCACCCACATGGCATGTGACCCCAGTGCTGGGAAGGAGGTGGCTCCATGGGAACTGTTCAGCTGCCTGGGTGCTGGGGGCCCAGGCTGTGAGGGAATGATGCTCAGATGTTGCTCTGGGATCCAGCTGTGGCAGAGACACCTTGGTGTGTCTCAAAGTGGCGGATGGATCTGTGTTTGAACCCTGTCTCTGCCACTTTGACAGGTGGCTTCACAACGTTGAGGCTTAATGCTCCTGTCTGCACAAAGGTGATGCTGATTGGCAGTGACCTGGTGTGGTGGGGATGGATGAGTTCATGTTCATGATGGACATGTGGAGCATGCAGTAGGCACACAGGGAGCACAGCAGAGTCTAGGCATCCTGCTTGTCCACAAGGCTCTAATCCACTTAGGCCTGGCCAGGCAGGGGCACTGCTGTGTATCTACCCCCCTGTTGGTCTGCTGTGGCTCAGTTCCCCTGGGAGACCAGCGGAGGGTGCTGTCCTGGGCACAGAAGGCCAACCGGGGCTGATCTGAGTCCACCGGAGGCAGTGTCTCTGCGTGTTAGCTGAGGCCCCAAATCCTTGTCCCAGTCTGTGCGTCTTGTGTGCGTCCCTGAGTCTCTGTTCCATGTGTCTGTGTGTGTCCTTGTGTGTCTGTCTGTCCCTTGACTCAGTGCCTGTGTGGATCCGCGTCCCTGTGTCTGTGTGTGGGAGCCTGTCTCTGTCGTTCACCTCTAAGTGTGTGCCCTGGTCCCTTGGTCTGTCCAAAGGACGTCCAGTGTGGGGCCTGGTGACCCCCCTTCCCTGCGGCCCCCTCCTCCAGCCCGCGTGGCCCCTCCTCCTCAGGAGCGGCAGTCTCCGCCCCACCCCCAGCTCTGCGCTAGGCGGCTGCGTCTGGTCTGGCGTCCGCTGAGGAGGGGCAGCCGCTCCTGCCGCAGCCCCACGCAGACCCGCCCTGGGGCGGCCAGTGGGTCCCAGTCCCGCTCTGCCGCTGCTGACGGTTAGAGCGTCCGCAGTGTCAGCTCCCACGCAGGTTGCTAAGGTAAGGCCTAAGCTGCCGGGGCCAGGGGTCGGGTCTGGACAGACTGCAGCCCTCGGGCAGGACTGGGGAGGGGCAGGAGGAAGTCGGCCCCTGTCCCGTGTCCCAGCTGTTTCTGGGTGTGTCTCCTGTGTGTGCCTGAGGTCAGGTTTGCACCTGTCTGTGGGTGGTGTGCGCACGTGGAGGGCTGTGTGTCTGTGAGTCCCTGTGGGTGGACACGTGTCTCGGCGTGTCACTGCATAACTACGTCCGCACGTCCCCTGTGGGAGTCCGCCAGCCACACGAGACCGTGCCCTTGTCTGCATGCGTGCCTCTAGATGTGTCCCTGTCTGTGCATGCATGTCTGCTCGTCTCCATTGTTTCTGAGTGAGTGCATGTGCCGCTGCAGCTAAGGCTGTCTTGGGGGGGCGGTCCACGTGCCTGGTGGGAGCACACACTGTGCTTGGAGGTCATGTGTCCCTGTTCTCTCCCAGGTACCAGGTGACTTTGCACACAGGGAGGTGGCATGGAGTCCCTCTTCCCTGCCCCGTTCTGGGAGGTCCTCTACAGCGGCCACCTGCAGGGCAACCTATCCCTCCTGAACCCCAACCACAGCCTGCTGCCCCCCAGCCTTCTGCTCAATGCCAGCCACGGTGCCTTTCTGCCCCTTGGGCTCAAGGTCACCATTGTGGGGCTTTACCTGGCCGTCTGCATTGGGGGACTGCTGGGGAACTGCCTCGTCATGTATGTCATCCTCAGGTAGGCTGGGGACCCGTCCACGCCGCTGCAGTGGGGAAGTGGGCAGGGGGCTGTTCGGGTGGGCCTGGCAGGTAGAGACTTTGCACTTTTCCCATTCAATTTCTGGTCGTCCTGTCAGGCACCGTCAGGGTCAGGGTCAGTCCTGAGCCCTGGATGCTCACGTCTTCACGGCTGGGGCACCTGACGGGGTGGGGGGAGAGGAAAGGATCAGCCCTGCTCACCCCAGTCCTGGCAGGGGGGAGGAGGGAGGGTGCAGCTGTGTCCCAGAGGGAATGTCACCCTGACTCCTGACAGATAACCTCCCTGATCTGAGCTGTGGGCCCAGCTCCTCTCCGAGCCACCATGTGAGGATCTCCTGGACCTCACAGTGGCCCTGAGAGGCAGCTCTTGTCAGCCTGTTCCAGGGCCCGTGCCCGAAGCCCCTTCCCTTCAGCTCCATCGTCACCGCTGGAGTCTGGGCCGATTCAGCATCTGCTGGTGCTCAGACTGGGAAAGCCCGTGGGGTCAGGAGGGGTGGCCAGGCTGCTGGATAGGGGAACATCACAGGGGAACAGCGAGGGGACAGTGTGAGGACGTGCGTGTGCATGTGTGTGTTCATGTGCATGCATGCACACGCATGTACACACATGAGCGCCCACATGTAGGCGGGCACACAACGGTTAGCACACATGCACACATGTATGTGTGAGAGTGAGCACATATGAGTTAGTGTGCTGCGTACACATGCACCCAAAGCCAGACATGCACGTGTGAGCACACGTACACACGAGTGTGAGCGGGCACGTATGCGTGACTGCCCATGTGTGTGAAACCGGTGTGTGCGTGTGAGTGTGCACATGGACACGTGCAAGGTGCGTGTGTTGGTGTGTATGGTGCACACCTTACGCAGGGGCCAGGAAGAGCCGTGCCGAACCCCAGGGGGCTGGACCCACATGCCCCTGTGGCTGGAGGGTGTGCTCTGGGTGACAAGTGCCCCAGCCTGTGGTGGTCTTGTTCACCCTTCCTGTCGCCACTGCTTCTCTGTATCTCTCCTCTGCACTGGGGCATCCAAACTCAGAGCCACGTCCTGTTGGAGCAGACGGGGAAGGTCCCCAGAGAGACTGATGTGCCGGACTGGCCCAGTGTCAGCACAGTGTATTCTGAGACTGTAGACTGGGGTGGGCTGCCTCAGGAGTCAGAGACACTGGTTCCAAGCCCTGCTCTTTTTTTTTAAAGATTTTTTTTAAATTTATTTATTAGAGAGAGAGAGAGTGAGAGAGAGCGCGCAAGAGGGGGTAGGGTCAGAGGGAGAAGCAGACTCCCTGCCGAGCAGGGAGCCCGATGCGGGACTCGATCCCGGGACTCCGGGATCACGACCTGAGCCGAAGGCAGTCGCTTAACCAACGGAGCCACCCAGGCGCCCAGCCCTGCTCTTTTTAAGAAACTTTATTTTTTTAGGGTGGTTTTAGGTTCAAAGCAACATTGAGAGGAAAGGACAGAGATTTCCCATATACCCTCTGCCACCGCCCCCCACATGCGTAGTGTCCCTTGTTACCAACATCCCCACCTGAATAGTGCATTTTATAATTAATTACAACTCAGTTTTACAACTGAACCTACATTAACCACATCCTGATCACCCAAAGTCCGCAGTTTACACTATGGTTACTCTTGGTGTACATTCTATGGGTTTTGACAAATATGTAATGACATGTGTCCACCATTTAGTATCACACAGAATAGTCTCACTGCCCTGAGAACGCTCTGTGCTCTGCCTGCTCATCCCTCCTCACCCCCCAACCTCTGGCAACCACTGATCTTTTACTGTCTCCATAGTTCTGCTTTTTCCACAGCGTCACGTAGTTGGACCCATACTGTGTGTAGCTTTCTCAGATTGGCTTCTCCCACTTAGTGATATACATTTAAGGCTCCTCCATGTCCTTTTTTTTTTTTTTTTAAAGATTTATTTATTTGAGAGAGCGAGAATGAGAGAGAGAGAGTACATGAGAGGGGGGAGGGTTAGAGGGAGAAGCAGGCTCCTTGCTGAGCAGGGAGCCCGATGCGGGACTCGATCCAGGGACTCCAGGATCATGACCTGAGCCGAAGGCAGTCGCTTAACCAGCTGAGCCACCCAGGTGCCCCTCCATGTCCTTTTTTTTTTTTTTAAAAATTCACATTAGCCTTAATTTTAGTAAGATTTGGCATCTTTTTGCATGCTTGATGGCTGTTTCTTTAAAAAATTTTTTTTTAATTGAAGTATAGTTGACACACAATGTTACATTAATTTCAGATGTACTCCTGTATGTTTTTTCATGGCTTGACAGCTCATTTCTTTTTAAAAGATTTTATTTATTTCAGAGAGAGAAAGCGCATGCATGAGTGGGGAGAGGGGCAGAGTGAGAGGGAGAAGCGGACTCGCTGAGCAGGGAGCCCGACGCGGGGCTCGATCCCAGCACCTTGAGATGACCTGAGCCGCAGGCAGACGCTTAAGAGACCGAGCCGCCCAGGTGCCCCGACAGCTCATTTCTTTTATCACTGAATATTGCTCCGTTTTCTGGATCTACTGCGGTTTATTTATCTCCCATCACTTACTGAAGGACATCTTGGTTGCTTCCAAGTTTTGGCTATTATGAATAGAGCTGCTACAAACATCTGTGTGCAGTGTTTTTTTGTGCGTGTTTAGATGGAAGTTTTCGACTCCTTTGGGTAAATATCGAGGAGTGTGATTGCAGGATTGTATGGAAAAGTGTGTTTAGCTTGGTAAGAAACCACCAAACTGTCTTCCAAAGTGACTGCGCCATTTTGCATTCCCACCGGCAACCAATGAGAGTTCCTGTTGCTCTGCACCCTCACCACCCTTTGGTGTCAGTGTTCTGGATTTTGCCCATTCTAAGAGGTGTGTAGTCGTTTCTCACTGTTGTTTTAATTGGTGAGGTGACTGTTAAAGTCTTTGGCTCTTTTTTTTTTTTTTTTGAGAGAGAGAGAGAGAGAGGGACGGGGGGAGGGGCAGAGAGAGAGAATCTCAAGCAGACTCCCTGCTGAGCTCAGAGACCAAGGTGGGGCTTGATCTCAGGACCCTGAGATCAGGACCTGAGCCAAAACCAGGAGTCAGATGCTTAATGACTGAGCCACCCAGGCGCCCCAGGTTGTCTGTTTTCTTATTGAGTTTTAAGAGTTCTTTGTATATTCTTGACAGCAGTCCTGTATCACATGTGTCTTTGGCAAATCTTTCCTCCTGTCTGTGGCTCGTCTTCTAGTTCTCTTCATCCTGTCTACTTTTTTACCAGCTCTTTTCAAGACCACTTAGATCCTCTGAGCCTAAGTGTCCTCCTGCATAGAGTGGGGGATCAAAATAGCATTTTTGAAATCTTTTTTAAGATTTTATTTATCTATTTGACAGAGAGAGACACAACGAGAGAGGGAACACAAGCAGGGGGAGTGGGAGAGGGAGAAGCAGGCGCCCCGCAGAGCAGGACCCCGGGATCATGACCTGAGCCGAAGGCAGATGCTCAACGACTGAGCCACGAGGCGCCCCCATTTTTGAAATCTTAAATGAGATAAAATCCATGTGAAGAGCTTGGCACAGGTGTCTGCCATTGTGGTCATTGTTGCTGTTATTTGGTCGTAATTAAGGCCTGTTTGTGCTTATTCCTAATCCCTCTGTAAGATGCAGGACTGAGCTCAGATTCCTTTATGGCAGCTTAACTGACACAGAACGTTGCCATCTCTGGTGTTTCTGCTGCCAACACTATCACCACCACCATCATTACTCCCGTCTCTACCACGGCCACCATAATTACCTGCTCTACCACGGCCACCGTAATCTCCACCACCACCGTCACCACTATCGTAACTATTGATTCATTTCAACAAATACTGATTAAGCAGCCATAATGTCCCAAGACCTGTTCCTTGGATACAGCCAGACCTCATTAGCAACCCTCCTATTCCTGTCACCATTTCCTGCTTCTGTCACCAGACTACAACATGGACTTAGAAGGACTTGATGTGCTCTTACAGACTGTGGAGCCCTTAGATCAGACAAGATCGGGCGCGTTCAGGGTGGTATGGCCGTAGACCTTTGGAGCCCTTAGAAGCCTCTGGTATCCGGAGGGCCAGCCTTGCAGTCCATGTAGGGTCTTCAGGAAGACTTGGAAGGGAGGGAGGGAGGGAGGACAGGTCCTTTTTCTTACGAATCCTACCCCTTTGCTCCCATGCGGAGTCAGATGTGTGCTCTGCTACCCTACACACCCAACCTTTTCAAAGCAGACCAGTCTTTGGGTTTGGAACACTTTTGTGTGGGCCAGAAGGGCTGTTTGCCCCCAGGCTCCATGCTGGGCCCAAGAATCTGCATTTAACAAGGGTCTCAGAGTGGGTGCTCCTCGTGGTGGCAATAAGAAGGGCCCTGAGCCTTTGTTGCCAGGTCCAGCCAGGGGGACTAGATGAAGCCTTCCTTCTCTCTGTGCTCTCTGCAGACACACCAAGATGAAGACAGCTACCAACATTTACATCTTTAACCTGGCCCTGGCAGACACTTTGGTGCTGCTGACACTGCCCTTCCAGGGCACAGACGTCCTCTTGGGCTTCTGGCCTTTTGGAAATGCCCTGTGCAAGACGGTCATCGCCATCGACTATTACAACATGTTTACCAGCACCTTCACACTGACTGCCATGAGTGTGGACCGCTACGTAGCCATCTGCCACCCCATCCGTGCTCTCGATGTCCGGACGTCCAGCAAGGCCCAGGCAGTCAATGTGGCCATCTGGGCTCTGGCGTCTGTCGTCGGCGTTCCCGTTGCCATCATGGGCTCGGCACAGGTCGAGGATGAAGGTCAGTGGGGTGGCCCCTCTTCCCCAGTGCTGTTGTCTCCAGGATCCCAGAGGGTCCCTCCTGGTTTATCCACCTTGACCCCGCTTTTCCCCCTGCAGAGATTGAGTGTCTGGTGGAGATCCCTACACCACAGGACTACTGGGGCCCCGTGTTTGCCATCTGCATCTTCCTCTTCTCCTTCATCGTTCCCGTACTCATCATCTCCATCTGCTATAGCCTCATGATCCGGCGGCTGCGTGGGGTCCGCCTGCTGTCTGGCTCCCGAGAGAAGGACCGGAACCTGCGGCGCATCACACGGCTCGTGCTGGTGGTGGTGGCGGTGTTTGTGGGCTGCTGGACGCCCGTCCAGGTCTTCGTGCTGGTCCAGGGGCTGGGCGTGCAGCCAGGCAGTGAGACCGCTGTGGCCCTCCTGCGTTTCTGCACGGCCCTTGGCTATGTCAACAGCTGCCTCAACCCCGTCCTCTATGCCTTCTTGGACGAGAATTTCAAGGCCTGCTTCCGAAAGTTCTGCTGCACTCCTGTCCTGCGCCGGGAGATGCAGGTGTCCGACCGCGTGCGCAGCATTGCCAGGGACGTGGCCCTCGCATGCAAGACCTCCGAGACAGTACCACGGCCCGCATGACTAGGCGTGGACCTGCCCATGGTGCCCGTCAGCCCACAGAGCCCGTCAACACCCAACACGGAGCTCACCCAGGTCACTGCTCTCTAGGCTGACACCCAACCTGTGTCCTGAGCACTGCCAGACTCAGGGACTTCACTGTGGCCGCAGAAGGCCTGGTGACATCATGGGACAGGTCAGACTAAAGCTGCCCTCCTGGTGCCGAGCAGAGAGGGGACACCCACCAGTTAGTGTACCTGGCCAGAGCCCATGCCAACACCCTCACACATCATGGCCTCTTCTGGCCCCTCCCCTGCGGCACCCTGCATGCTCTTGGTAGGCACACACCTGGAGGTGTGACAGCAGCGGGCCATCCCACGCCCTTGTGCCATGTGCTGTCTGCATGGAGCCCTGCAGCCCCTCCTTGGGGCAGCCGGATGAGCCTGGAGCTGCCTAGAGAGCTGGCATGCTCTGTGGGCAGTAGGGCTTGGAGTTGCTGCTATGGACTTGCCTGGGACTCGACTGCTGTCACCTCCTCGTCCCCCACTCCTGCTTCGGAAAGGCTTCTCAGAGAGATGTTTCGCTCCAGAAGCACAAAGAACTGTCAGCCACAGACGTGGCTGTCCAGGCACGCAGAGGTGGCTCAGAAGGACGGTGGACTGCTTGGGCACCTCAGGCCACTCTGTCATTCTTGAAAGAGCCCTGTGTGCCTGGTCTCGGCTGCGCAGTGCTGGGGCGGTGGCGCGCTCTGCCATGCTCTGTCTGGGGTCCATGGGTCCTCCTTGGCTCTCTTGAAATCAGAGGTCAGCAGCTATGCAGCTGACAGGACCCTGCGCCCTGCTTGGATCCTGGTGGGCTTGGAAGAGGAGTGGCAGTTGGGGTGGGTTGTGCTCTGCCTCTCCAGTGACGGATACTGGCTTTGTTTACAAGCCTCCAGGTGTCTGTGGGGAGGCTTGAGCTTCCTGCTGTCAGGACTAGTCTTAAATGGTGCCAAATCAGGGTGGCTTCACATGCAGGGCTGGTATAAGGGGTGAGGCTTGACAGGGCCTCCTTGAGCCAAGTGTGAGAACTGCCTGGTGTGGGAACACTGTTCGGGGCAGAGGGTCTCCCGGCGGTGGTCACCCTCCCTGGTCTGCAGATGGAAGCTGCAGTTTGGTAACTTTGCAAACACTCTTCCCTGCAGATAAACTATTGAAATACAACACTGAAAAGACTATTTTGCCTCCACCTGTGAGCTGAGCTGCAGACCTCAGCCAGGTGACCTTAGGCACCTGCAAACAATAGGAAGCACTGACTCTGGGCTGGCTTCTCCTGCTTCAGGGAGCCCTGGCTCTGTGAGGTCATTCCTGGGGAGGATGGAGCTGTGGGAGGCTCTGGAGACTGTAGCTGCCACAGCTGGGGCATTTTCATGACAAGGCTGAAAGGTTTGTGATTTGTGCTGGTGTAACGTGTATCTTCATGTATTTATGCATGCAACAAGTGTGAATTCCCCTACATGTAATCAACCCTGATCTTGCCTCCGGGGGTCATTGGGGGCCATAAGAAATCCCTGCCCACTGAGTAGGTGTTTCTGACTCTTGTGGGGTGGGGCTGTTGGGGTAATGAGTCCTCCCACCTGCTCTGTGCTCCTCACCTGGCCAGGCTCCGTCTTTAGCGGACGGTACCCCTTGGAGGTTGCAACTTCAAGAAGGTGTGATTAGTTCATGATGCCCTGGAGGTCTGTAACCTTTTCTTCAGCACAAATAGTTTCTCCTTGAAAAACCAACTACTGCAACTCTATGCTGCCCCCTGCTGCTAGAGGTTCCCTGTGGATCCAGTGTGTGGGGGGTTGCTCTTCCCACCCGGGTCACACCTTTTCACCCCATTTAGTCTCAGCAGACCCCCTTCCTGCCCCAGCCCTTTTCTCCTTTCTTGAGCAGACCCAAGGGGAGTTTTGATGGAAGATGAACAGAACAGCCTCCCTTGATGGCCCTGAGATGTAGACATACCTCCTGGCTCCTGTGTGGACCCAGTTCTGCCCACGTTGACCCTACAGGCGGATGACCCTCTCAGAAAGAGGGGCTTCGGAGGAGGCAGCAAGGGCGAGCTTGGGTTGCACTTGGCAGATGGGCCAATGTGCAGTTTCATACAAGTTTTACTGATGGTCACTTTACTGTTAAAATAAGTATTTAGGGGCGCCTGGGTGGCTCAGTTGTTAGGCGTCTGCCTTCGGTTAACCTCATGATCCCAGAGTCCTGGGATCAAGCCCCGCATCAGGCTCCCTGCTTAGTGGGAAGCCAGCTTCTCCCTCTCCCACTCCCCCTGCTTGTGTTCCCTCTCTCGCTGTGTCTCTCTCTGTCAAATAAATAAAATCTTAAAAAAAAAAAAAACCCAACCAAGTATTTCGCATCAAGGGGAGGTTTGGGAGCCGTGGGCCTACAGCGGCAGGTACATGAAGAGTGCTCAGTGCAGGTTTGGCGGCGGCGGAGGGGGCTCAAGCGTGGGACCTGGAGGATGCTGACCGTCCTGCCGCGTGGGCGGCGCATCCAGGGCCGACCCCACAGTGAACACCAGTGCCGAGATGGGTCGTGAGGGGTCAAATGAGCCGCACCCGGCAGGAGCGAGGAGCCTGCGAGAGTTCGCAGGCCGCCGGAAGCGGGGTCACAACCCTAGCTCTGCAGGACCGTGCCTGGCTCTTGCCGGCCGCCCACCTCCACCCCCACCACTTCTCGGACCAGTTTCCTCCCGCCTCCTCATCCACCCCGCCTCGGCCCCGCCCCACCTTCGCCCTCCCCTCTGCTCCCACCAACTCCTGGGTTTGGTCAAGTGTCCCGGCTTCTCTCAGGTCCTGCAAAAGGGACGGCTAAACCTTCCTTGCGGGTTTGTGGGGGAGGCCCAGGCTGTGGAGAAAGCCCGGGGCCGGAGCTGGGGTCAGCGGCCGGGTTGCACTGCTAGGGATGCGGAGGGCTCTCCTGCCGCTTTGGACTTTGCCCAGCAGGGGCGCTGTGACCGCGGGAGGTCCGCGGTCCGCACCGGCTGGGGGATTTGGACCCCGTGGGGGAGGGCCGGGCTCTCCCTGGGTCGAGGAGTCCAGAGGTCGGGGACACTCTCTCCTCTCGCGCCAGCCCATCTCAGGAAGCCACAGTGGTGGGTGTGGAGACAACCAGCGTTGGGGTGGGGGGCGGGTGTTGGCCTTTTCCTGGGGCCCCGCGGCTCGCTTGGGCAGGATCTTGGTGAGGATTCGCCTCTCTCCTCTTCCTGGCTGGCCCGTGGCTCCCCGTCCTCGGGGTCTCGCGCTTGCACGAGGACCCTCCCTCCCATCGGAGGTGGGGATGGGGCAGGGATATGTGCGCCGCTTGGCTGATCCAGATCTGACTTGGTTGCTGGGGCCAGGGGGCAGACGGGGCAAGGTCTCTTATTCTCGCGCCCCTCTGCTCCCATCCTCTCCCCTCCTGTTCCCTGTTCTGCTTCTCAGGCAGCTGCTCTTTGTTGCTTCTGCGCCCTGTTCACACACTCGTTTTCACCTCACACTGCCTGCACCTCAGGTGGGTGTTGAGAGTCTCAGCTCCTCTCCTCAGGAAGCTTGCAGGGGCAGGGCCGGTGCCGAGGCGGTAATTAGGGCTGCTACTGGTAGAGGAATGACCGCACTGCAGTGAGGAGACAGGACCCAGAATCTTCCAGGGAGAAACGTGGGTGTTAGGGTTTCAAAAAGGTCCCCAGCCCCTGCGTGTGCGCTGGGCTTAGTGACTTGCTCCTAATGAATAGAATGTGGCAAATGGCTTCCAAGACGGTCTTACATGGTGTGGAGGCTCCTCTTCCTTCTCCCTCTCCACCTGCTTGCCCTGTGGGACCAGCTGCCCCGGGGAGAGTCCACGTGGTGAGGACCTGAGGCCTCCTGCCACAGGCCACGTGCAGGGGCCTCCTTGGAAGCAGCACCTTCAGCTCCGGTCCCGCCTTCAGGTGACCGGAGCCTCCGCCGACCGCTGACTGTAACCTCAACAGAGTCCCCGAGCCAGAACCACTCCAAACCTGCTCCCAAATTCTTGACCCACAGGAGCTATGAAATAATAAATGTTTTAAGCCATTAGGTTTTGGGGAAATTTGTTATACAGCAATGGATTACAGTGTTGTCAGGGAAGAGAACAGGGCAGAGGTGGTATTTGAATTGTTTCAGGCAGAGAGAGAAGAGCGGAGAGGGTTGTGGGTCTGAGCTCCAAGTGACTCACTTGGAGGTCCGCACCGGCTGGGGGATTTGGACCCCGTGGGGGAGGGCCGGGCTCTCCCTGGGTCGAGGAGTCCAGAGGTCGGGGACACTCTCTGTGTCTGGGGAAGCTGGAGTATATGAAAGGTGGCAGCCGTGCACCGTGGGGTGACCTCACGGGGTGGTGAATTGTGGGTGCTGCATGTCAGGTGGACACACTGCACCATGGGGACTACAACCAGTCTGGGCCCCTGTGAGGGCATTGGGAGGTGCCAGTGACTCAGAATAGCACAGCTAGAGAACCAGGCATAGAACCAGCTGGGAGCCACGGGGCCACGGGTGGGGAGCCTGGCTGAGGCCCACCAGGGTAGTCATCAGGGACTTGACCCCCCTCTTCCCCCCTCCTGGCAGAAAATGGTCTCTGAGCAGCCAGCACCTCAGTGTCCTCACCCTGCCCCCCGAGGTTCAGCATGGAGCTCCTGCTGGATGAATCTAGGCCCCAGCCCATACCCCAGGGAGAAAGGGGTCCAGATACCAGCCCATCCAAGTAACAGATGGCCTCTCTAGAGGGTGGGCGTGCAGAGGTCCTGGCAGGAGCACCCTGGGTCCTATGGCAGGATATGAGGGGGCCACAGGCGGCATGGGGGGCACAAAAGGGGCATGGGCCAAAGCATGGGGGGTCAAGAGAGGGCACACAGAGGGCACAGGCCTCCTGGTGAAATGCCACCCAAGTTTCAAGCGATGAGAGTGCATTCCGTGGCCTTATTTGAGGACTGAGTCTGTGGCTTTTGCAGTAACACTTGGCTTTCCTGCCCCAGGTGCTCACACTTTTATCATCTGTTAGTACTGTCTTGGGAGGAGCCAGCCTGACGTTCCCGGTTGTGGAATGCAGTGGTGGCCCTGGGATGAGATCACAGTTCGGCTTTCTTTTCCTCCAGATTACGGTGGTCAGGGAGGACGGGGAAGGAGCATCCAGGGAGGTTGTCCGTCTGTCTGTCTTTCAGCAGGTGAGTAGAGTCAGGATGTCTGTTGTGCCGAGAACTTTGGCCTGGGTCAGATCAGCAGGGTGGGGCAAGGGCCTGTATCCCTGCAGCTCCTCACCCAGGGGCTGTCCAGGAGGCAGCCATGGGAAGCGACGGGCTCATGGTCATCCCTGCAGGTGCGGTGGCCAGGCTTCGTGGGTCTTTCTCTCTGTGTGGAGAAGATAGCGATGGCATGTGAACAAGTGGGCCATCCCTCCGAAGCGACAGCACTTTTCCTAACAGACACACTGGGGCTCTGGTGGGAGGGGTGCCCAGGCCCCTGGGCTCCAGAAGCTGTTTCAGAAGCTCTCACAGGAAGGCATAGAGGAAGGGGTTGAGACAGGAGCTGGTGTAGCTGAGGCTGGTGATGACGTAGAAGATGCTGATGACCAGTGGTGTCTGGGGCAGGTCTGTGGTCAGGGCCACGATGGAGGCCAGGTGGAAGGGCGTCCAGCAGAGCAGGCCCACAGCCAGCATGGCCAGGACCAGGGTGGTCACCTTCCGCTTGGCCTTGCCCAGAGCTCTGGAGTGGAGTTGCAGGACCCACAGGCGACGTAGCAGGTCCACATAGAGCACACAGAGGGTGCGCACGGGCACCACAAAGCCCAGGACCAGCAGGTAGATGCGGCTGGCCTTGAACCAGGCCCTCTCAGGCTGTGGGAAGCTCAGCCCGCAACTCGTGACCTGCAGCTCATTGCTGTAGACATCGGCAAAGGCGAAGAAGGGCAGCACCATGATGGTGACACTGATCCAGACACACAGGCTGGTGATCTCTGCCCCCCGGAGGGTCCGCCGGGGCACATGGCGGGACTGTGTGGTGGCCAGCACCACCAGGGAGCGGTCCACACTCATGGTGGCCAAGAAGTAGATGCTGGAGAAGATGTTGTAGGGGTCGACGGCCAGCACCGGTTTGCAGAGCAGCTCCCCGAAGGGCCAGCGCTGCAGCAGGTGCTCCGTGATGTTGACAGGCAGTACCAACGTGAAGAGACCGTTGGCAACGGCCAGGTTCAGGATGAACACGTTGGTCACTGTTGTCATTTTGGGCACCCTCAGGATCACATAGATGACAGCTGTGTTGCCTGTCAGCCCTACGGCACAGATCGCGGAGTACACTGCTGGCAGGAACTCATAGAGGGCTGGCAGGGGCTCATGGAGGGTGACGTTGTGCCTGGTGCCATTGTCCCAAGTGCGGTTGGCGCCCATTGCAGCCTGGAAGGGGGAGCCTCTGCTTTCAAGGGGATCCAGCCCCGCAGCCTGCATCCTGAGGTGGGACCCAGGGCTGGTGGGAGGTGCCTTGGGGTGGGGAGTCTGGCTAGGGGCCTCCTTGGGCTGGATTCTGAGAAAGAGACAAAGAGAAATTTGGGATCTGACTCTTAGCTCAGAACGGCAGTGGCCTCAAGTTCTCTGGCAGAGGCTGTGGCCATTTTGCCAGGGTTGAGGACACACGGGGTCTCTCTCCATCCTCCCCCGTCCTGCCCCACCTGTGCGCAATTTACCTGGGATCGAGGCAGTGCCTTTGCAAACACACCTCCCAGGCTCACCCCTGTCCCCTTCAAATCCAGGGGTCCTGAAGCCAGAGCCCTCCCAGTCATACCCTCTTCAGGGCCACCTGCGCTTCGCCCCACTGACCTGTCTGACAACACGTGGCCCCAAGTCGGTGGCCTTGGTGGGCGTGTGAAGGAGGTCAGTGCAGGCTGTGGCAGGGGTGGAGGAGGGAGGTGAGGCCCACTGACAGGCTCTCACCAGGCTCCCACTCGGCTCTTGACTGTCTTGGGGGGCTTTTAGGACCTGCCTGGTCAGCAGCCTCGGCGTGAGCTGGCTTCCTGGCAAGGTCTGCAGCCCGGTGACAGCGCTAAGGAGCAGTGAAGGAGCCAGGCAGATCCTACTGGTTGAGGCGGAGCTCCGGGAACAGTGTGGGCAGAAGCTGCGGCAGCCCCTGTCGTCACCCCAGGGTCGCTGCGGTGCTCACTCGCCTGGGTGGACTCTCCAGTGGGTGGCCCTCTGTGTGTGTGTGTGTGTGGGAGGGCATGCAGTGCAGGGGCCTCCAGCGGGCCCAGGTCTGTTGGGAGGCATGTCTGTGTGGTCTGTACTTTTGTCTGTGGGTCTCTGGACCTGGGCACCCTTATCTGTGTGTGAGGGGGCCTTGGCGGTCTCGTGCCAGACCCT